GAAATCCCATAACTCAAGGACCCCTTAAAACATTATCCAATAATCCAATACTATTTAAAAGTACACAAGATGAATAGACGAATGACAGTCTCCCAGCTGCGGATCCTCAACCTCGAGACTGGAACCTCTAATAACCTGAAAAATAAATCGTGGGTTAAACCCTACGAGCAAGTTCACTCTACCAGGCCTCTGAAAACCAATAAGCAGATCATCTCTGATTAAAACCAAACCTAATAAAGTTTTAACTTTAATAAAGCACGATATACATGTCTATATATAATTATATATACTATACTAATCACATCCATTAATAGGTTTATTAAATTTCCATACCTATTAAATAATTATTAAAATAATATTCATACCTAGACCAATCTACCATTTCATTTTATAAAAACTCCTTTGACCTTAATCCCATCCTAGTCAGTTGTCTAATCATTTAAACAACAAATTATAATAAAAGAAATACTCTATTTAATCCCAACCCAATAATGATTTAAATTGTTTAAATCACATATCCAAAATCCAAGTTTTGACAAATCATCCACGTCTTCCCCAATATTATTTTATTAATGTAAAATAATACACTAACCAGTAAGTACTAAACTATTCTCATTTAAGAATATCTAACCCTAATCCAATCCATACATACAACAACCATAGATGATATTTTAATCATCTAACACATAACAACGTAATTATGCTTTGGCAAATCAACCATGCCATTGTAAATATTTTTATTTCTATATTGGCAATTCAACCATGCCTCCATAAGTATATTTATTTATACATTGGCAATTCAACCATGCCTCCATATATGTATATTTATACATTTGCAATTCAACCATGCCTCCACAGGTATATTTATTCATACATTTAATTAGCAATTCATCCATGCTTTCCATATATGTATTCTATTCATACAAATATTTAGGTAATATATTTAATCATTTGACAATTTATCCATGCCCACACTTTAACCATGAATTAACTTTAAAATTAACAATACGCTAAATCATACATAGCCATCACATGCATATTATACGCATATCATTAATTTAACAACCAGCCTATTAAGATATGCCAAATAAGAATGATAATATTAATCATCTTAAATGATTTATATATATATATACCTACACATATGTTATTTAATGTATATATGTGTTTAACACCTTCTTTAATAATCCTTGATTATTTAAAATCAATATACATACATACATACATACATATATATATATATATATATATATATATATATATATATATATATATATATATATATATACACACTTCCTTCCATAACAAATTATTAATTTATTATATTTACACAAATTAGTGCAACTAAATATGTCAGAAATAGTTTCCTTTAAATACTCCATATTAGTTTAAATAGTTTTCCGACACTTTCTCACTAAAACATAAATATCTCCTAGTAGGATGGGAATCTGATAATGAAATTGGTACCATTGGAAAGAAGACGAAAAATCCTTGAATTTGAGCTCAAGAATGACCCAATTTCGATTTAAAATGACTAAGTTATGACCGTTTTAATTTCTAGTGTCGAATTAGGCCAACATAGTTTCCCACGCGCGCCCACGTGCTTACTATGCACTTGCACGCGCTGGATTCAAGCCTCCTTGTGTGCTGGTATTGGCTAAGCTCTTTCAGCTACCGTGAGCTCACCACACTGAATCCATCACTTCCTTTATGCCGCATCCAATGGTCATAAATGAGTGCGCAAATGAACACGCTCACACTAGATTATTTTCTATTAACTATAATAGATCTAAGGTCCAGATCAGCGAGTGCACCATCTTCTCATGGTCTGCAATACACCAAATAATCCCATAGTTGACTAGACCACTTTTATGGTCCAGATACACATGCGCACCAAAGTTTTATGCGCCGCGATGCACCATATCAATTCACATAAGTTTAATTAATCAAATGGCCCTAATTGGCGTATACACCCTATTATCCTACACCGCGCCGCACTGGATCAATTCTTTATTGTGCCGCCGCTCCACATGCGCCAGTTACCTAGTATATATATATATATATATATATATATATATATATATATAATTATTTTCCTAACAAATAATAGGAAAATAAATCCTAATAAATTCCTAAAAATATCAGAAAAATTCCAGAAAATTACAGAACAATTCTAGAAAATAAAGAAACCATAATTAACTCTCTTGGGTCACAAATCCACCTATAGATTGATTTTAAAATATACATAACACCTATATATATCAATTGAAATCCAATAATCTAAAAATCAAATATAATAGTTTATACTTTTTAATTATTCCGATCTAACCATAATTTTTAAACAAATAAATTTAATTAAAGCCTTGATACTCAAGGTGAAATCCTTATGAGTTCTAAGAGGAAAGTTAGAGAAAACTCGCCTGAAGGTTTCGAAACGAAACCGACGCTTTAAGCTTTAATTATCTCTTTCAATTCCGACGTCCTCCTTTTCAGATCCGACCTCCTCCTTGTCAGCCCTTCTTCTTCCTCTCTCTCTGTCTGTTTTATTTTTCTAACGTGTAAAACCTTTAACCCTAAAGCCTTATGTGTATTTTTATACACCTTAAATTCCAAATCCTATTCCAACTAGTATTATGAATTAAAATAATAATCTTTAAATAATTTATATCTATAAACATATATATATATATATATAAATATATATTCCTTCCATAATTAACTCATTAGTTAATTAAATCATATATACTTATAAATATCAATAAATATATATCTATATATATATCTTTCCATAACAATTATTAATTAATTATATTTATATATAATTATATATATATATATATATATATATATATATATAAAAATATAATTGATACAAAAGTGATCATTTAAATAATGAAATAACCACGGACCTTCATTAATTAACCCAATAAGGTTTCATACAAGCCCAAGACCACATCTTTTGGTCCAACTTTCCTTAAGCCCAATCCAATTAATTTAAATAAATAAGATAATTAATTAAATACAGAAATTAAAATAACTAATTACATGAAGCACATAAACAAACAAGAATTTACAACTAAGTCATATAATACCAATAAAATCAACACACCAATAATTCAATCAATAATCAACCACACAAACAATCAATCATCATACATAATCACGAAATATAACTTAATTAAAATAAGATAATTAATCTAGCACTCAATAAAATAAAATAAATCATTGAAAAATAAAATAAAATAATTAATCCTAATTAATAAATCTTTTAAAATTATCGGGGTATTACAATATAAGCGTCATCCTCTATTATTCACTTATATTGATATGCTTGTGCTGTTGTCTTGTGAACAAGAGCGGGCTCACTGACTTCTTTTTGTGTGATAAATAGAATGAATTCTTTCTAGGTACGGACTAGTTGACTTGACATGAAAGCCTGCTGCCCATGTTAGGAGGGTAGCCCAATGCATTGTCTAAAACAGTGGTGACTTATTCAATGCTTCAAGCCCTTGAAATAAAGCTTCCTCTGCCTCCAGATAATTGGTTTTAGATGGCGATGGTGATAGAGACCTGTCGGCATTGTACTTGAGCCTTTTGAGAATGGATTTATTTTTTTAGGCCAATAATGAACAGAACGTCAGAGTTAGCCAATAAACACAAATATCACTAAAAATATTGGGAAATTTTTTATCGTAACTTCTTTGGGGGAAATATAAGGAATTTTTGGATCATAATTTCTTTACGGGACTAACACATGTTTCCCACAGACGGCGCCAACTGTTGATGCCAAAAATCTACACGCTTCGGAGTCGGTGGCGATTCCTGCAAAACAAGAGAAGTGATGACCGGCGTGGTGCCGGCCGAATGCACTCCGACAGTCAAGTTAATACTTGACGATATAATATCCGATAAGGATTACATAAAAAATTTATGGCGTACCTTTTTAGGTTGACTGATCATTCCTTTTATAGAAGCATTGATGGTAGTAGTTGTTGAAGCGAGATTCTCCCTGATCCAAGATGATATCGTTTCCTTCTTACAGGAATGGTAACTGTCGTTACATATGGTAACCAAATATTTTTTATAATTCCATAGAGATTTTGGAGAGGATAAATCCCTTACCCTTATCTTATTTTGACTTTGAGTTGCCAATTATTTTTATCCTCGTCAATAATAATTAACGGAACGTAACGGGTTGATCCTATACATTTTTGACCCGTCCATTTTCAATCAATATGGGTCTTAACGAGTTAACCCTATACATTTTTTAAATATAATTTTTAAAAAATAATAAATAATAATAATTAACGGAATGTAACGGGTTGATCCTATACATTTTTTACCCGTCCATTTTCAACTCGTTCTGAACGGGTTGAATTATGTTTGACCCGCCCATTTTCAACCCAGTCAAAACACACCCATTTGCCACCCCTAGCAATGAAAAATAAATAATTTATGTATATTATTAAAACATTTTGTAAATAGTGATCAAAAATTGAAATATCAAAATTTGATAATTTTACAAATTTCAATATTATAACAACAAATAATGCATCAATGGACAATAAATATTTTAAAAAAACCTCTTATTTTTAAACTAATCATTATATTTTTCAAATTTACAATAATTTTATACTAAATATATTTTTATTTTTGCTTCTAAAAGTCTCGCAACAGATGAATTACCAAATGTACCTTCCAATAATATTAAACACGTTCAAACATGTTTTCAAATAGCAACTAGTTTAAGGGAGAATGGTACTTCTCTCGTGTCATCATAAACTTTAACGCCTTTTAAGGGAGAATGGTACTTCTCTCGTTTCATTTTTCCTTCATCAAAAGGGAGCACCGACGTTAGGTGAAATAGTCAAAAGGAATCTTGACAATAAACACCAGGCACCAACTATTCAATGTATCAATTGTTTGTATCATAAATTTCAAAATTAGGAACTGTACATTTCAAATTAAATTCCTCCAACCAACCATACACAGAAAATAGATACTTATGAAAAGGAGATCTCATTCAAACTTAGACTACTATACAGTTGTCATCTTATATTGTCATTTTAATTGCAAAACTAATTGAATTGATCAAAGAAAAATTGGAAAATGAATTACAATTATGAGCAAAAAGTTCCAAAACTGCAATTAAATGTCTAATCGACAAGTTGGTTACAGAAAATGATCAACTAACAATTTTGTTATGAAAGCCCAAATTTTATGAGAAAAACAACCTTGCATCAACTGATTTTTCTAGCATTTTGGTTCTAGTTCTGCTCTTTTGTGACTAGAATTCAACAACAGTTACTTCATTAATGCTGCTTCATTGCAACTCAGCTGCAAGCTTTCTATTCTTTTCCAAATTTCGGGTTATCAAACCGAGGATAGCGTCAAATTTTATCCTAAATTTCCATCCCAAAAGCACAGTAATCTTTTACTGGATTCCTGTTTCATCAACTCATAAACATCAGAAAGAGCGCAAATACATCGTTTATCGGCCTTGTGATAACGCAGTAAAAATTATGAAGGATAAAGTAGTGGCACTTGAGAAAAGCCAATACATGAAGATACAGAGTGCAAATTGCAAGGAAAGAAGTAGAAGTAACCAAGAAATGAACAAAACCAAGAAATGTAGTCCATAAAATGTCATTGATTCTCAAATTAGAAACAGAACATCAAAGTAATATGTGTTGATTGTAGATTCTGTAGGACATCATCTTGTCAGATTTATTCAAAAAAGTAAAAATGAAAAAGACTTGGATAAGTAAAGTCTTGTATCCATTTCTGTAGTGTAGTTTTTATGCACCGGAGAATCATAGAAAAACCATATAAGAAGTTAGGGCTCCAAAATCTTCCCGGGAAAAAAATTAAAAAAGGTTAAAGACTCCAGAAGCAAAGTTCTGGAAATACAGAAGTATAAACCTAGTTTCAATAATAGATCATTCTTACCAAGAAACAGAAGGAAGCAAGCAATATGATCATCAGAAAACGGCCTGCAAAAAAGGGAATTGGCATGCAACCTGTTTTCTCAGTCCTTTTTGGCTATTGACGAACAAGTCCAACTCAATGATTTTTCGACTCAGTTGCCTACCAAGAACTTACGGATTTGACTATGAAAGCAGCGACTTCATACAAAGTAATATGTTTTTGTTACATCTGCATTACAGGATCATCCTCTAAAATGTGTAAGAGTATGCACATGTAGAAATTTATACGAATGTTCATGATGTATGTCATCCTTCTCAATTATCTAAATCCAAGGCCAATGGTCTAATATGATCATACAAACGTGTAGCAATCTTTGCCCCTTTTCTCAAACTATCATGAAGAAACAAAAACTGCGAAACACTTAAGTAGTATTATGATTTTTGGCCTGGTGTAAAAATTCCTGGAGTAGACCATTTCCATACTAAGAATAGTTGTCTGAATTTTTGGTTTTCAAATATCAAAATGACTGCAGAAGGAATCATATTTTGTCTTCTTGGTGGGAGCAGGATTAAAACATGATATTAGAAAAATATAAATCATAGCTTATTTAGGGCAGCCACCACAGCCTCCAATGTGTTATATTATATAGCACATTTAGGAAATACACTCAAAAGTAGCACATAATATTCGTATAAAATCAAGCATCCATTGGCTTGATTATGGAACTTGTGGAAGTCTCTATCAATTTGTATAACTGCTACCTTCTAGGCATCATTCCACGGTAGAACTCAAAATGATGTTTTTTCTGCTTCTACCATTTTCAAGTCACACACATGCATAAGTTCCCGTATGCATTCGTAACGAAGCGAAATTTTCAAGGTTTCATGTGGCTAAAACTAGAGACTTAGACATTATTGAAGCACAACAGATTAGCTACTCAAACTAACAATAACAACAACTTCCTTCAACACACTCCAATCCAGCTCTGGTAGAAGTAAGGAAAAGAAAAGTTCTTGAATTACAAAATTCAATAATTACCTTGTGATTATCTCAAACATAACAGAACAACTTTCAAAAATTTTGTTATACATTTCAAAGTTTATTATGTACAAAATTGTTCACATACCCAAACATAACATAGCAGCCATACCAACAAATAAGAACAAAGTCCACATTGAATTGAACAAATCAACTTTGTAAAAACAGAATATAAATGAAATTACTGTGTGCTGACTTAAACTATAACGATCTCCTCACAAATTGGCTTAATATCTCAAGCTTGAAGGTATATAACCTCAAATATACAGACAATTAATTAGTCTACCTTTCAGCCACATGCCAAATCTACCAAAGTAGTTTCTGAGGTAAACATCCTACAATAACTTGCTATTTGATAAAAAGTATGTGAGATGACAGAATATGTAAGTTATCAAGAAAGCAGCATCATCACTTACTGAAGGGCACTTTAATCCATAAGCATTAGCAACCATGCAATGTAACAAAGATATCAGGTATCAAAAGATCAATAATTTGACAAAGAATATGACCTGAGTGTGACTTTTACCTCTGCTTCATACTGACATAAGATAAAAAATGTATTTCAGATTACCGAAGCAAAAAGCACGCCAAATTCCATTTTCATAATGTAATACTAGTATAAGTAAGAATAGAGAAAAATGAACATCAGAAAGAATTCTTTGGTGGGGCTTGAAACTATGAAATGCTTCTGAGTTCTGACTAAACAGAGAAAACCTTCCAGAGCAAGTGAATGGATTTTACCACCTTTGCGGAAGACATTTTCACTTTTCAGTTTTGGAGTGCTGAGAAGCATGTGGAATCAGTTCCTGTCAAGTAGGAAAATAATGTTGTTCAATTAGTTTTCTTACCTACAAACCTTCTACGATGAAAAAACTAAGAAAAAGTGTTGAGATTACCTGAGAATAACGTACACGATCATAATGCAAATTAGAAGTTTTCACAATGGTTTCCCACTTGGTACCAGTAGAGGAAGTTTCAGGACCCTGCCTTTTAGGACGAAACAGTGAATGTGAAAATGAACTTTGTGAGGAAATGGAAGGAAGCGCACGCCAAAGCCAAGACTCAGAAGGGGATTTAGGTAAAGGCGGTTGAAGCGGAGACTTGAAAGAGCTACCATTAGAATTTTCTAGGCCATCTGCTTTTAGATTGTGTTCATTTTTCATATCCAGGTTTCCACTGGTATACACTTTTGAGAATTCAGAGGACTGGGAGACCTGATTGAGACTTTGATCTCGTCTCAATTCCTCCATCTTGTCTGCTTGGCATTTCAGATCTAATGTGTCTTGTTTTGATCCCTCTATTCTGCCTGCTTGGCATCTCTGATCGGATGTGAGAGCGGAAGAAGATAAATCAGCTTTAGTAGACACTGAGGCTTTAGGCTTCAGTATGCTGCCTCCTTCAAAAATATTCTGGAATCTAATATCTTGAAAAGAAAATTCTTCCTTGGCAGTTTCTTCTTCCACCAAGGTCTTTAAATCCTCACCAGAAGAGTCAGTGACCCCCTTGGGTTCTGAAGAAATCGGTTCTAATTCATTTACAGAATCTATATACAACATTTTCTCAACTGTGGGACTCACTGAACCTGACCCCGGTTTATATCTTTGATAGGGTGGCCTGGGTGACACATCCAGAAATTTGTTAGAGCCTTTGTTAGACAACTTGAAGCTTTTTGGCTTAACAGTCTCAACTACCTTCGGTACACCAAGAAACCCTGCTCCTTCACTGAAGAGAGACTGGGGTGCAAAATTCCGGTAGGGAGATATGGAACGCCTGTATGGAGATGACTCATCTGTCAAATGCAAGTCACTGGAGTAAGTTAACCGATTGGATTCACCAATTATTCGCTTATTATCAAACTCAAGCAGCTTATTTGATTGGTTTGAGGAATCATGTGTTTTCTTATTTGCAGTATCCCAAGCATGCTGCAAAGGAATAGATTGTAAGTAACAAATAGAAATCCATAGTAGTTACAAAAGAAATGAAGTATAAGGCCTATATTCACCTTGTTGACAACTTGAGGTAGGGGTCCACTATATGCAGTCCTGGTCGGTCTGGAAGACATAGGAGATGGGGTCCTCATTTTCATCCCTGGAACCGGATTTAAGAGACACAACGAATTATTTAAGCATACTCGAGGAATTAACCCACAAGCTTTAGTTGATCTATTGCCAAAATCATCAAACTCCTCATCTCCATCTTCACTTTCTACATCCTCCATATGCTGATCATAATGAGGTATAACGGTAGATCCGTATTGTTCAAGTAGAGGCCTCCCTTCCCCATTGAGCACCTTTTTAGTCTGTCTAGGTTGTTCATGTGACACAGGTTGCTTCCTTGGGACATACTGAGGCATGTCCAACACCATAGCCTTGGCTGCAGGTAAAAAGCGACTCATTAAGAAATCTCGAGTTTGTGGATCAGAGTCAAAGGTTCCAGATGGCTTCAAATCAGGACCATCATACCCACTTAAACCACTTGCGCTGCAGTTAAAAGAGAACGATTCCGTTGACGATAGTGTGTCAACTGCATCAGAGTATGCGTCATCCCTACTTTCCAAATCTGAATCTGCATTTGAATTTATTCCCTTACTCAAGCTCTCCAGTAAGGCTGCAATATCATTCAAAGATGGTTCTTCATTGTGGGCCCTGATCACATTTTGCACTTTGGATAATTCTCCAGAAAGCTGCCTTTTAACATCCATTGCCCTTCCTGGTGGAAGCCTTGGAGTATTGGCAGGCTCCTTAGGAGGTTGAGGTTGGCTATCAGTTCCAAGTTTAGCTCTTCCAGGTATCCGTTCCCACAAAAAAGGAACAGTGGCCGGTTTTACAACCTCACCTAAATCAAAGTCTGATTGGTAAGATGAAAGAGATTTCTTCTTAGTTTGTTGCGAATTCTCAGTTCTCTTTCCATTATCTCCACCTAAAGAAGCCAATGCCGATGGAACTCGCCTCACAGATAGAAGTGGCACATTAAAATTCAATTGCTTTTTATCCATTACGTCTCACAACTGTGAAGGATCTGTTTGCTCCCCTCTTTAATTAAATATTCCACAACTGACTATCTTATATAAGCAACAAAATCATCAAATGTTAATCTGGCCAAGCTGCTGCAATTTTCCATAACAAGAAAGCCAAAAATAAGAAAACAAAAGAAATAAAGATAATAATCACACTAATTTACATTCCCATTATCTAAAAACCAGAAATGACACAGAACAATTTACTCCAGGATGGCAAACAATCAAACACGAAGACTCCAATTCCAAAGGCATTTAACATTCACTACTAACTAGAAAGAATGTTTACCATAACATGTTGAATCCAATGTTTCATCATATAAGCCTTACAGAACAATTGAAAAAACATGATGCATCGAAAAAAAAAACACTTAATATTTGGGGAGGTTTTTGTTTTCTCAGTTCTTGAACAACAAGCGATCTGAGAGTCAAAATTTTAATTTATTTGCAAACAAAGAGAGCAACATGTAAAATTCATCCAAATATCTAAAAAGAAATTGGGAATAACAAGAACTAATTATAGTATATAAGCTTTTTATAAATCAAAAAATCAAAATCAAAATAGGAATGTATTTTTCATAAAATTCTGATTCTTTAAGTGGCCATAACTGTTAGCAAGACCAATTTGTCATAATCAAAAAAAGGGAAAAAGAAACATTCAAGAAACACTTGAAATCTATAAGTCACCAGCGAACGATCATGAAAATCAAAAAATTCCACAAATCCAAAATTCATTTTGCACAAACATTAGCTTATTATCATCCCAAGAAATTCAATTTTATTGGGTAATCAAAATTATCATGAATCGGTAATTGAAACAAACACAGAGCTCAAGAAGACATAGAAAGGACAATGGAGATATCTCATACCTGTAAGAGTCGGTCAATTCTGGACTTTTGTGGCCGGGAATGAAGGCAAGACTTGAGGAATGAGTGAAAAGAAGGATAAGTGTAGAGAGAGAGAGAGAGAGAGAGAGAGAGAGAGAGATTAGTGTAGTGTAGTGAGAGAAGGAGAGGAGGGGTCCAGAGTGATAAACCCTTTTTTGAAAACCCCCTCTGCTTTAATGATGTGGTGGGTTTAGAGTTAACGCCGTTGATTTTGCCCTTTAATTGTCTTGCCTATATGAGGAGCGGTGGTCACGGGCAAACCGTTGAGAGATAGTGACGGACCTGACGGTTGATGCCTAACTGTCTTTAATTCGCGGCAAATTAGATAAATGGAACACAAAAATCACCCATTTTTATTTGACTAGGTCGATAGTTTGGCCAGAGAAAATTTTTATTACGCTGGTTGCATTAACGGTGTATTAAAAAAAAATTATGATCATGTATAAATATTAAGTCCGACATTTAATTGTTTAAAAAAGAATAATATAACGAACTTCATTTAAGATCATAAGGTTATTCAAATTTATATTTTTTTTTCTTATAACTTTATTGGCAAATTAAAGTACTTCATGTGTCCTATTTAAATTGTATTTCGAAATTATCAATTTTACATCTGGTGAGTTCATATGGTTTTTTTTATAAGAATATTTAAAATATATATATAATATATTTACTTTTTAAATGTGACAATTATTTTAAAATTGTTAAAGTAAAAAAAGTGAATATTTATTTTGAAACTGAATAAATATTATAATTTTATTTGCATAATTTAAATTTTGAGAGTTTTTTTTCAAACCAAAAATTAAACTTTTATGTTCTTGGAATTTTTTATTTTTATGTATATGAAAAGATTAAATCAAATAATTAAAGATTTGAAATTGTGACGATGTTGGAGTGAAATTATAATTTTGAAGTTGAAAGCAAGCGTCTCTGTTCCTCACATGGGGGTATCCAATAAAGATTGTATCCATTGACTTTATCTGTCTGCCATTATTGACTGTGGGTCGTCTACCATTGGATATTTTTTCTTAAGAAAATGGTATTTGTGCCACGTCACATTCTTAAGAATTAAATATCGATGTAAAAGACAACCATGTTATCTTATAGCCCAGAATACACGGTCTAAAGCCAGACATGTCGCTATAGGCTTGTAGCTACCTATATATCTTCATATTGTATACACGTGATTGTGCATTTTGCATCTTGGCTCTACCCAAACAACCATATTTTTTTCACCATTCAATTTGTGAGTGTCCTTTTCCAAAATATTCTAATTTTTTTTTTACATAATCTATTAGAGGAATTATTAAATAATCTGAAACTACATAATTCGAATCAATCACAATTCGTCATGTAAATATATATGATTATTTTATTCAATTTTTTTACTTGTGTGATAAATTCTGATTGATTCGGACTATATAATAATTTAACGGATTGATTCTTCCTAGAATTCTGATTAAATGTGTCCTTGGTGGTACTTTGGCCACCTGACTCACCTGAAATAGATGCATAGTGTGTATTGTGTGCTATTGCCAAGTGTTAGCTTCATATTTTTCCAAGAATTGTCCATTGTTAGCCCAATGTAGTAATTGGGCCCAACTAAGATGGACCAATACAAAGCTATATCCTGACGCAGGTGAAGCTTTATAAAGATCAAAGCCCATAAGTGATTTCGGCCCAATTACCCAAACTCAAGCTCCATATTCGGGGCAATTCAGTAATTGCAACGTTACGGTGACTAATCTTACAGCTGTCCATCAAGGACATTTTCGTCATAACGCTACATCAGTTAACAGATTCTCCCGCCAAAATCATTAACTGCTTGTTTCGACTCTGTTTTATAACAGCACAAAGGCCAGGTCCATGTGATCAATTCGTTCTCTCTCTCTCTAGAAGTTTCTCTCTCTACAACAGAATCCTCCTCACTCATGGCTACTACTCTGCAACTACTCATCCTAACCTCCATCCTCATCTCGACGAGGATCGTCCTCGCCACTGAAGAAGCCTGTTCGCCAGCTTCATCTCCGTCATCTGCGTTTCAGGAACACGCGTTTCTATCCTCTCTCTTCGGCCCGGTTCTCACCAATCTCGGTTTCCAAGAACTCGCCTCCGCCGCCTCCTCTCTCTCCACCTCCACCACATGGCGAGGCCCCGCCACCATCTTCGCCCCCACCGACTCCTCGCTCCTCACCTGCCCTTCCTGCTCCGTTCCCCTCCTCCTCCAAGAACACACCATCCCAGGCCTCTACCCTGTCCACTTCCTGAGCAAGCTAGCATTCGGCACCAAGCTCGAAACCCTAGCCCCTGGCCGATGCCTCACCATCATGTCAGACAAAAATTCCTCCAAGATCTTCGTCGGCGGCGTCGAGGTCACTCGTCCGGATCTCTTCAACAACGGCCTCGTCGTCGTTCACGGCATCCAAGGCTTCATCTCTCACCTGTTGCCGTTCTCGTGCCACGTCGAGCGCATGACTTCTCTCTCATTCCCTCCGCCGCCGCCGGTGGAGGCGTTCTTTATGATGCGCCTGATGCTAAAGGACGCCATGCTCCGATTACAGGTCGGCGGCTACAGCGTACTCGCTCTCGCTCTGAGAGTGAAGTACGCCGAGCTACTGGATCTTCGGACGATGACTGTGTTCGCGCTTGACGACGCGTCGATCTTTGCCGGCGGACACGAGTACATCTCCGATTTGAGGTTCCATATTGTGCCGAACAGGATGTTGAAGGCCTCTGATTTGCTCAGTTTGCCTGCGGCGACGGAGTTGCCAACTTTGGAACTAGGGCAGAAGCTGGTGGTGACCACAGCGAGCGGCGGAGGTCCGTTGGCGCCGATGAGGATCAACTACGTGAAGATCAAGAGGTTTGATTTCATGCACAACCTCAAGATCGTGGTTCATGGACTGCCATTGCCCTTCCCGCACATTCGTCCGACGGATTCGACGGGTTATGATCACATCGAACGGTCAGCATGGAACGTGAAGGAATCGGGCTTCAATGCTGGGATCCAAGGGATGATGACCCCTACGCAATCGGATGAATCGACGGTTGAGAATGATCATCATGGTCTCTGAGATCTGATTCACTCACACTTGTTTTTAGATATGGTATAGTAAGACTCTAAGAAGTCACGCTTCTTCTGTATGTACTGTACTGTACAAGACATTTCAATCAAATTACATATGGACACCTTTCTTTCTGTTCTCAATAAAGTACTTTTTCCTTTGCGTAATATTACAAAAACATGAATCAAAATTTTTAAAAACAATGTATATATATATATATATATATATATATATATATATATATATATATATTAATGAAAGGAAAATGCCTTACAATATATTATACACCCAATGTGTATATTGCTCATGAAATTTGTGCAAGAAGTGTTGGTTCTAATGGAAGTAATTTGTGCAAGATTGTAATGAAAAACACACTTTAAGTCATAAAACACACTTCCAAGTCATAAAATCGGCAAAAAGCCATGAAAACAATCAACAGAGTGAAAATGATAAATTCAATTTGCACAAGACATCCAAACACAAAATGTGTATATTGCACAAGAAATTCACACGATTGTCAAAGGTAGCCAAATCATTTCAGTTTATTGGTATTTTATCAGTTCTATTTCAGAGAAGCTCAACCAGTTTAGGCAAAGAACTTAGTCTAGTTTATCTTCAAAATTGAGCTTCTTTTGAATGCCAAATTACTGATTATATAAAGCATTTAGATGTATGATATTAAATATAACTTTTAGGGTCGTGATTCTTGCTGCATATGAGGATGCTAATCTAACTAGTGGGGCTTATTTATCATTTGCAAGAAATTAATGGTGAGACTAGGAGAGTTGAGTATAACCATAAACACAAGAAAAATATATTACGCAGTTTCTTCACCACTGCATGGTGTATTTAATTTACATAGGAACTGCAATACAAGATCAAGAACAAGTAATACACAACATAGATAGTAAGCAAGGTGAAACCACTGAGTTCCTAAGAGAACTCAAGATGATTGAGGATCCACCCACTATTTTGCTATTTAAGCAGTTGGATAGGAAGATTCCATGGCAATGCCACAAATGCCTTCCTTAGCAGCAATGTCTCTTTCCATCATAATATATCCACTATCGCCCCAGCTAGTACCCCACGAATTCTTGACTAGCCAATACTTGGTACCATCAGCACTTGTCCCATATCCAACTGCCGTAACGCCATGGTCTAATTCAGTCCCGCAAGCTCCAGTAAAAACGCCACTTGAGTAGAATTGGAAGTCAGATCCACTAGCATCAATGGCAACAGATACGGGTTGGTTGGCCACAGCCTTCAACAATGCCGCCTCACTATTGGCAGGCACATCTTCATAGCCGGTAATCTTTGCTGCAGCTGCTTTCTTGGTTTTACAAGTTGAATCAACTCCTTCATATGGATAATTGGCTTCAGTAGTGAGGCCATTGTTTTGTATTATGAATTCAAAGGCATCATCCATTAGGCCACCCTCACAACCTTGATCTACACTTGTGTCGCAGTCCACGAGTTCTTGCTCAGATAATGAGATCAATTTACCTGTTGTGAGCTGGTTAATCCCTTCCATGGCTGCCACTGCTGAAAATGCCCAGCAACATCCTGCATTTTTTTATGAATTGTATTATAACATATGTTTTAAGTTAGTCAAAAGGATATAAACAAGTAATTGTATATATAAAAATGTAATTGCCGATTAGCAAAAGGAAGGTGTTGTGCCTTACCACATTGACCCTGATCCTTAATGGGAGTAACTGCTCCTTTCTTTCTCCAATCCATGCTAGCTGGAACTGCAGTCACATTTTCATACCTAAACGACGTTGTTTTAGATGACTTCAAATTGGAGGACATCTTGAAACCATTACGAGAAGCCTGAAACTCCTCATTAGTTAGGTCAGCAAATTCATTGATGCCTAGCTTGTAAGACTTGGTACCAGCATTGTTGAAAGATTCGATGAACTCCATATTGTCCTTGAAGATTTGAAAGCGCAGTTCTTTTTCTACATTGTCCTTGTAAACTCTTCCATAACGAACCATCCATTGCTCATGTCTGTCAATCATGGACACTTCAGTCAGGGTGCGGGATGTGACTTCAGAAATTCCCATCCCCAAAATTAACAAAGTTGCACAAATTAGCTTCCAATTGAGTGTAAAACCCATTGTTTACTAACTGAATATTGCGGAGTAAATGTTGCGGCTATGAATAATGATAATGTGAATGAGTAGGCACACTATGGTCCTTGGATAGATATAGGTATATATATACATGAACTGCATTCCAATTGTGTTCTCTCAAATTGAGTTCCCACCATGATTTGAATCTTGCGGCGAGGGATCAAGTTCCTGAGAGAGCCCGGTAAGTTATGTATGACACAGACAACTAATGTTTGGTTCCGTAGACGCTGCTTCAACTTCAATGTATACAACTACATTCCTATTGCTTCCTCACCAACTATCTCAAATTGAGTTCCCACTATGATTTCAAAGGCATAATTCTCCAGTTTGCCGGGAAAACTGTAATGACTTGGACAACCAGACAGAAACTTATTCAATAGTCCTTGTTTTGTGAGACAAACACAGAATATTTTATAATATAAATATGTATGAGGTAAGTTTTTGTTGTATTGTGTGTATTTTGTTTGTGTTTCTAGCTGAAATTTATTTTTCCTGGCTTGTTCCTGAGCCGCTTGTAGGATACCACTGAATAGAAAATCGACTCAAGTGAGACTTATTATAGGTTTTGATATATGCGACTTTAAATGGTGGAAATTCTTCTTCTTTCCAAACAACAACATTTTAGCACATGAATTTATCATGGATGGATTGGTGGTTCAAACTGATCTTCAAGGACAAAAGGATAAGCAAAGAATGCACAGAATCAGTTTCATGAGTTTACTTCATGGCAATATCTAGCGATGTCATACTCAGCGACTTATGGTCGGGAGGCACCCTTCTTGGGTCCTCGGAAATTAGTCAGGGCGAAGCTTCGGATACTTGGATTATCCAACAACAAAAAAAATTCTAGGGATGTCAATGGTGCAGGGGCAGGACAGGCACCCTTTTTCCAAAATCGTCCCACGAATGAAAATCTTTTTTCAATCCCAGTTCGGGGCAGCCCGCATCAGAGTTGGGGTGGGTTCAAGATGCCCCGATATGCATATTTAAATAAATAAATAAAATAAAATAAAATAAAAAAGTAATAAAAAAAAAAAAGACAATTCAAACTTAATAAATTTAAGAAAATTTTCATAATTTTTTTTTTTTTTTTGGTAGTATAGTCAAATATTTAATAATCATTAATGTTGTTAAAATTTAAAATTATCTTAAGAAATTTAAATATTTTCCGGGTTTTAAATTCTATTCTGAAACCCCTACATGATCGTATTTCAGTATTATCTAGGTACTGCTCGCGCAATGCAGTGCCACTGAAATAGCCATTGTTTTTGTGGACAGTTTAGCCAATACAAATTGCTTGTAATAAAAAGGAAGAACTAGCCATTCTAATGAAGCCCCGATTCTCAATTTGCTTGAAGAATGAGAATACAATAACAGAAAATGGGAAATAAAACAACGATGGGGAAGCATATAAACCAGTCTTATCCGCTCACAAACACACTAGAAGATAAAGGTCGGTAGGACTACTCATGTAGCATAGAACAGCCTCTGGACGAATATAGGTCAAAATCGACAAATTTATAAAAGTGTGTATCAGTATTACAAACCCATCCATACGACAAACCATGTTCTAAAGCTTATTTTTCAATTATACTTCATGAGCATGGCCTTCATTTTTTTCTTAAAGTTTAGCATCCATGCTGCCGAAGCACATGTTGACTATACTTATTAATTATGACCAATCGAGAGAAATAAATATATTTTTTTTAAAACCGATCTGAGAGGTGGGAAAAGGGAAAACCAGGAAAAGAAAAAATCCGCCACTGATTTGCAAATACGTATTTTGAATAAAATGAGCATCTTTCAAAACTTCTATGAATAAAGAATCTCAATAAAAGTCATAGAAATTATACTCTCTCAATAATTACATTGCTGCTCTCTTTTCTTTTCGTCCTAAATGAAATTGGAATATAAATTAAGAAAGAATATGCAAGGCAATGAGTAACGGCATACCCCACGGAAAAAGTAATAAATAAATAAGAATAAGAGAACTCTCTATTAGATGGGATGTAGAAGCTACCACACTCCTCCAAATAACCTGCTTGTGTGTGTGTGTGTGTCTCAAGCAAGCTGTACATGCATAATTAACTCGGAGCTTCTGATAATGATTGATCCGAGACAAAATTGAAAAGGAACAAAATTCAATTCCTGCAACTCATAGAGATATAACACCTTAAGTTTCTGAAACCCATGTGCCCCAAAATACATTCTCTCACCATCATATTCCTTACGGAGATATAGCCATAACAGATTAGGCAAGACTTACAGGGCTTTTATCGAATCATCACTTAATCCTAAATAAATTAGACCAAATGTGACTAGATTTTGAAGTTTAGGGATCCAATCCGGCAACTTCCCCAAACACCCATGCAAGTAGAGCTGTCAAAGACACTGAGGTGGAGATGTAATGGATTGTAAATCCAGGATATCATCTTCGCTTACTGCCCCGACGTCGAGACTGAAAATGTGTCATTTTCTCAATGGAGTCTATGAGAGCCCTCCCATTTTCTCTTCTCAACTTTCTGATACCCAACTTTCTCAACTCCCTCAGATTTTCCAGCTCTCTAATTATTTGGTCAAACCCTTCATGACTTGCCTCCACATTACGTAGTTTCTGCAGTTCCTTTAAATGCCCAATTCCCTTTTGCACTTTCACTCCTCTTCTAATATCAATAATGCTATCAACATTGTAGTTCGAATCGTAGGCCAAAAGGTGTCGCAACTTATGTAACTTACTAATTTCACAGGGTAGCTCATCCACGAGAGAGTATTTCATATCTAAAGTCTCCAAGTTGTATAGCTTGCCTATGGACTTTGGAAGGATTTTCACTATTGTATCCCTCAGACTTAAGGACTTCAAGTGGAATAACTTTCCAACCTCTTTAGGAAGATTATCGAGAGGAGCACCTTCAAGATCTAACACCTTCAATAGCTTGAATTTTGCGAACAACGTACCTAAAAATGGCTTTGGCAACTCCTCGTCCACTTTTAAAATAAAACAAGAACGAATTCGGAGCTTACCAATGGTTTCTAAAACATCATAAACAGGGTTATGGAATGATAGTCGCCGAGGTTGTCCATCAAAACTTGAGTCATCTTCCACAACTTGGCAAAAACTCAACTCCTCGGATTTTAAAACAATGAGCTCACAGAGCAAGTCATGCACCCAACAAGTATCAATTTTCGATTCATCAAAATTTAGCTCAGTCACTTGAATCAAACTTCTGCGAATTAGTTCGGTCAAATATTCTTCTGCAACCTTTTCCAAAGTTTTTCCTTTTTCTGGTTTTACAAACCCCTCAACTATCCACAACCATATCAATCTTCCACTACAAATAGAGAAGTCTTCTGGTATTATGCTAAGTACAAGAAACAAGATTTCAGGCAGCAAGGAAGATTGTGATAACTGAGCAAATATGACTTTTGTAATACTTGTAAGATGTGCATTCCTTTGTAACTCAAAACCAAGGCTATTGTACAACTTTTCCCATTTAGATACAATCTGTTTTTTTGGTTGATAACAATCCAGCTATGGCCACAATTGCAAGTGCAATTCTTCACACTAGGCAAGTCTTCACACTAGCCAAGAATTTTAAGAGAAAATTCCTTCAATTCTGGTGGACATTAACCTCCAAAGTCTAATTGGAATGTCTTCTTGCAAAAGAGTTCCCACGCCTCGTCTTCAGAGAGAGGCTCAAGTTGGTGGACGTAATCAAATGGAGATTCTTTGCAAGAAGAGGCAACATCAACATGAATCAAAAGTACATAACCAATGTGTATATTACTTACGAAATTTGTGCAAGAAGTGGTGGTTCTAATAATAGTAATTTGTGCAAGATTGTAATGAAAAACACACTTTAAGTCATAAAATGGGCAAAAAGCTATGAAAACAATCAACAGGGTGAAAATGATAAATTCAATTTGCACAAGACATCCAAACACCAAATGTCTATATTGCTCAAGAAATTCACACGATTGTCAAAGGTAGCCAAATTTATGTGGACTAGCATCAATTCAGTTTATTGGTATTTTAGTCTAGTTCATCTTCAAAATTGAGTTTCTTTTGAATGCCAAATTACTGATATATAGCATTTAGATGTGTTATATTAAATACAACTTATAGGGTTGTGATTCTAGCTGCATATGAGGATGCTGATCTAACTAGTGGGGCTTATTTTATCATTTGCAGGAAATTAATGGTGAGACTAGGAGAGTTGAGTATAACCATAAACACAAGAAAAATATATTATGCAGTTTCTTCACCACAGAATGGTGTATTTAATTTACATAGGAACTGCACTACAAGATCCAGAACGAGTAATACACAGCATAGATAGTAAGCAAGGTGAAACCACTGAGTTCCTAAGAGAACTCAAGACGATCGAGGATCCACCCACTATTTTGCTATTTAAGCAGTCGGATAGGAAGATTCCATGGCAATGCCACAAATGCCTTCCTTAGCAGCAATGTCTCTTTCCATCATAATATATCCACTATCGCCCCAGCTAGTACCCCACGAATTCTTGACTAGCCAATACTTGGTACCATCAGCACTTGTCCCATATCCAACTGCCGTAACGCCATGGTCTAATTCAGTCCCGCAAGCTCCAGTAAAAACGCCACTTGAGTAGAATTGGAAGTCAGATCCACTAGCATCAATGGCAACAGATACGGGTTGGTTGGCCACAGCCTTCAACAATGCCGCCTCACTATTGGCAGGCACATCTTCATAGCCGGTAATCTTTGCTGCAGCTGCTTTCTTAGTTTTACAAGTTGCATCAACTCCTTCATATGGATAATTGGCTTCAGTAGTGAGTCCATTGTTTTGTATTATGAATTCAAAGGCATCATCCATTAGGCCACCCTCACAACCTTGATCTACACTTGTGTCGCAGTCCACGAGTTCTTGCTCAGATAATGAGATCAATTTACCTGTTGTGAGCTGGTTAATCCCTTCCATGGCTGCCACTGCTGAAAATGCCCAGCAACATCCTGCATTTTTTTATGAATTGTATTATAACATATGTTTTAAGTTAGTCAAAAGGATATAAACAAGTAATTGTATATATAAAAATGTAATTGTCGATTAGCAAAAGGAAGGTGTTGTGCCTTACCACATTGACCCTGATCCTTAATGGGAGTAACTGCTCCTTTCTTTCTCCAATCCATGCTAGCTGGAACTGTAGTCACATTTTCATACCTAAACGAAGTCGTTTTAGATGACTTCAAATTGGAGGACATCTTGAAACCATTACGAGAAGCCTGAAACTCCTCATTAGTTAGGTCAGCAAATTCATTGATGCCTAGCTTGTAAGACTCGGTACCAGCATTGTTGAAAGATTCGATGAACTCCATATTGTCCTTGAAGATTTGAAAGCGCAGTTCTTTTTCTACATTGTCCTTGTAAACTCTTCCATAACGAACCATCCATTGCTCATGTCTGTCAATCATGGACACTTCAGTCAGGGTGCGGGATGTGACTTCAGAAATTCCCATCCCCAAAATTAACAAAGTTGCACAAATTAGCTTCCAATTGAGTGTAAAACCCATTGTTTACTAACTGAATATTGCGGAGTAAATGTTGCGGCTATGAATAATGATAATGTGAATGAGTAGGCACACTATGGTCCTTGGATAGATATAGGTATATATATACATGAACTGCATTCCAATTGTGTTCTCTCAAATTGAGTTCCCACTATGATTTGAATCTTGTGGCGAGGGATCAAGTTCCTGAGAGAGCCCGGTAAGTTATGTATGACACAGACAACTAATGTTTGGTTCCGTAGACGCTGCTTCAACTTCAATGTATACAACTACATTCCTATTGCTTCCTCACCATCTATCTCAAATTGAGTTCTCACTATGATTTCAAAGGCATAATTCTCCAGTTTGCCGGGAAAACTGTAATGACTTGGACAACCAGACAGAAACTTATTCAATAGTCCTTGTTTTGTGAGACAAACACAGAATATTTTATAATATAAATATGTATGAGGTAAGTTTTTGTTGTATTGTGTGTATTTTGTTTGTGTTTCTAGCTGAAATTTATTTTTCCTGGCTTGCTCCTGAGCCGCTTGTAGGATACCACTGAATAGAAAATCGACTCAAGTGAGACTTATTATAGGTTTTGATATATGCGACTTTAAATGGTGGAAATTCTTCTTCTTCCCAAACAACAACATTTTAGCACATGAATTTATCATGGATGGATTGGTGGTTCAAACTGATCTTCAAGGACAAAAGGATAATCAAAGAATGCACAGAATCAGTTTCATGAGTTTACTTGATGGCAATATCTAGCGATGTCATACTCAACGACTTACGGTCGGGAGGCACCCTTCCTGGGTCCTCGGAAATTAGTCAGGGCGAAGCCTCGGATACCCGGATTATCCAACAAAAAAAAAAATTCTAGGGATGTCAACAAAAAAAAAAAAATTCTAGGGATGTCAATGGTGCGGGGGCGGGATAGGCACCCTTTTTACAAAATCGTCCCACGAATGAAAATCTTTTTTCAATCCCAGTTCGGGGCAGCCCGCATCAGAGTTGGGGTGGGTTCAAGATGCCCCGATATGCATATTTAAATAAATAAATAAATAAAATAAAAAAAGTAATAAAAAAAAAAAGACAATTCAAACTTAATAAATTTAAGAAAATTTTCATAATTTTTTTTTTTTTTTTTTTTGGTAGTATAGTCAAATATTTAATAATCATTGATGTTGTTAAAATTTAGAATTATCTTAAGAAATTTAAATATTAATTACTAATCGGGGCAGGTACCCTTTGTGGGTTTTAAATTCTATTATGAAACACCCCCTACATGATCCTCTTTCAGTATGAGCTAGCTACTGCTCGCGCAATGCAGTGCCACTGAAATAGCCATTTTTTGTGGACAGTTTAGCCAAATACAAATTGCCTGTAATAAAAAGAAAGAACTAGCCATTCTAATGAAGCCCCGATTCTCAATTTGATTGAGGAATGAGAGTATTTTTTTTGAATGGTTTTTGTTCAAAAAATAACAGAGAATGGGAAATAAAACAATGATGGGGAAGCATATAAACCAATCTTATCCGCCCAAAAACACACTAGAAGATAAAGTTCGATAGGACTACTGATGTAGCATAGAACAGCCTCTGGACAAATATAGATCAAAATCGACAAATTCATAGAAGTGTGTATGAGTATTACAAACCCATCCATACGACAAACCATGTTCTAAAGCTTATTTTTCAATTATACTTCATGAGCATGGCCTTCATCATTTTCTTAAAGCTTAGCATCCATACTGCCGAAGCACATGTTGACTATACTTCTTAAGTATGACCAATCGCGAGAAATATATATATATTTTTTAAAATCGATCTGAGAGGTGGGAAGAGGGAAAATCAGGAAAAGATAAAATCCGCCACTGATTTGCAAATACGTATTTCTTAATAAAGAATCTCAATAAAAGTCATAGAAATTATACTCTCCCAATAATTACATTGCTGCTCTCTTTTCTTTTCGTCCTAAATGAAATTGGAATATATATTAAGAAAGAATATACAAGGCCATCAGTAACGGCATACCCCACGGAAAAAGTAATAAATAAATAAGAATAAGAGAACTCTATTAGATGGGATGTAGAAGCTACCACACTCCTCCAAATAACCTACCTCTGTGCGTGTCTCAAGCAAGCAGTACATGCATAATAACTCGGAGCTTCTGCTAATGATTGATCCGAGACAAAATTGAAAAGGAACAAAATTCAACTCCTGCAACTCATAGAGATATAACACCTTAAGTTTCTGAAACCCATGTGCCCCAAAATACAATCTCTCACCATCATATCCCTTACGGAGATATAACCATAACAGATTAGACAAGACTTGCAGGGCTTTTATCGGATCATCACTTAATCCTGAATAAATTAGACCAAATGTGACTAGATTTTAAAGTTTAGGGATCCAATCCGGCAACTTCCCTAAACGCCCATGCAAATAGAGCTGTCGAAGACACTGAGGTGGAGATGTAATAGATTGTAAATCAAGGATCTCATCTTCGCTTACTGCCCCGACGACAAGACTGATAAGGTGTCATTTTCTCAATGGAGTCTATGAGAGCCCTCCCATTTTCTCGAGATACCCAACTTTCTCAAACCCTTCATGACTTGCCTCCACATAACGTAGTTTCTGCAGTTCCTTTAAATGCCCAATTCCTTCTTGCACTTTCACTCCTCTTCTAATATCAATAATGCTATCGACATTGTAGTTTGAATCGTAGGCCAAAAGGTGTCGCAGCTTATGTAACTTACTAATTTCACAGGGTAGCTCATCCACGAGAGAGTATTTCAGATCTAAAGTCTCCAAGTTGTATAGCTTGCCTATGGACTTTGGAAGGATTTTCACTATTGTATCCCTCAGACTTGAGGACTTGAAGTGGAATAACTTTCCAACCTCTTCAGTAAGATTATCGAAAGGAGCACCTTCAAGATCTAACACCTTCAATTGCTTGAATTTTGCGAACAACATACCTAAAAATGGCTTTGGCAACTCCTTGTCCACTTTTAAAATAAAACAAGAACGAATTCGGAGCTTACCAATGGTTTCTAAACCATCATAAACAGGGTTATGGAATGATAGTCGCCGAGATTGTCCATCAAAACTTGAGTCATCTTCCACAGCTTGGCAAAAACTCAACTCCTCGGATTTTGAAACAATGAGCTCACAGATCAACTCATGCACCCAACAAGTATCAATTTCGATTCATCAAAATTTAGCTCAGTCACTAGAATCAAACTTCTGCGAATTAGTTCGGTCAAGTATTCTTCTGCAACCTCTTCCAAAGTCTGGTGGACATTAACCTCCAAAGTCTAATTGGAATGTCTTCTTGCAAAAGAGTATCCAAGCCTCGTCTTCAGAGAGAGGCTCAAGTTGGTGGACCTAATCAAATGGAGATTCTTTGCAAGAAGAGGCAACATCATCATTTCGAGTGGTGATGATTACCCGACTGCATTTGTTGTTCTTTGGTAAAGCATGTTTTATGATACTCCAAACTTCTATTTCCCATACATCATCAAAAACAATCACATACCTCTTGGGTTCTAGATATTCCTTTAGCTTTTCAATCAGTTTAACCTTTTCCATTGAGTCAATTCCATCAGGAACGAGTTCCTTTCTGGAATCGTAGAACTGCTTTATTATTGTTCTGAGAAGCTCCTCCGTCTTATATGACTGAGAGACAAAGATCCAAGCACAATAGTCAAAATGTCGGGTCACTCTTGCGTTGTCGTAAACTTTCTTTGCAAGAGTGGTCTTTCCCAATCCACCCATCCCAACAAGAGAAATCACTGCACGCGTCGGTTGTTCTGCCAATAGCTTACTTATCAATTCATCTCTGAGAAATTCAATGCCTACAACGTCATCTTCGGCAATGAAAAGGGAAGCCGCTGGAGGGTCATGCCCCGTGCTATCTTTTGTGCCACTGATTGATCCTTGCTCCAAGGAACTGAATCCATATCTTTTGTGCTGCTGATTGATCCTTGCTCCAAGCCCGGCAAGACTAGCCTAATCTGTTATGGCTATATCTCCGTAAGGGATATGATGATGAGAGAATGTATTTTGGGGCACATGGGTTTCAGAAACTTAAGGTGTTATATCTCTATGAGTTGCAGGAGTTGAATTCATTGATAATGGAGGAAGCTACCACACTCCTCCAAATAACCTGCCCAAAATAAGAATGTACATCAAGGATTAGAAAGTTGGCTTGTTTTCAAGGTCTCTATTCAAAATTCATAGCCGTGCGTGTGTGTGTGTCTCAAGCAAGCAGTACATGCATAATAACTCAGAGCTTCTGCTAATGATTGATCCGAGACAAAATTGAAAAGGAACAAAATTGCTTTTGAGATAGCACTAGCTGAATTTCTAATGAGGTTGCCACCATCTAAATATGAATTACAATAACAAGCTGCCATGGCAAGCAATATCCCATCATGACCAACAGTTTTCCCAAAATAAACTATGCAAACATACAACTACAATGAAATAAAAATTGAAGTTTGTGCAATAACATATAAACTATTATGAAATGGCAGAGCATATATACTACAGAAGATTGTGTAATAACAGAGGTGAAGAGAGTTAATTGCCATTGTAATACTTTTCCCAACAGAATGTGCCTCTCTAAAGAGAAAATTACGTGTCAAAGTAACAATTATTGCATATCTGAGCTAAGAACAAAAGGAACCACACACACAAAAATGCATCAACTGAATACGTGTTCTCTATAAAGGCTATTGTAGAACCAATAATGTGGAACAAATCTGCAACTAAAAGTGGGTACACAACTTCAACATAACATTTGACCATCTCTTGCACGCAAAATAAACAATGATCAGTTTGACTTATAGATACCCAAGTGGGATGCACATTTCCCGTTCTTCTAGTTTGAACTTAACCATATTCAAAACTGTAACTTGGTAGACAGTTACCAAAAGTAAAATAGTCCTGGCAATAAGAGATCAAAATAAACAGAGACCCAAAAAATTGGGCTTCTCAATACAAGAAGAAACAATATAGTATGTTTTGGACACTCTGCACTCTTCAATCCCCATGCTCAGTAGTTCTCTATAATCCCAAAAATGGTTCCCTGGAAATGCATGGAATGAATTGCTCTTCCATATATAGATCGCTACACTATAATAATTTTTTATGTAATCGATCAAAGTATCATAATAACCTCAGAGAAAAGAATCAATCCAATTTATATAGTCTATCACATTTGAGATATTTTTCAGAATCCAATCAACAGAAGCTTAAATTTCTTTTTTTTCATATCAATAATTCAATCAATATATATATATATATATATATATATTTATTTATTAACGTGAGTGTGTAAAGAAGATGCTCAAGGAATTTGATTTCAGTCAATTTAACAACACAAAAATCAACAGCGAACATTAAAATCTAAAAGTGACTTCGTATTAAGACACAAAGTACGAATCCTATCACTGAAGAAACGTGTAATGCATCAAACTCAATACATTAATGTAAGCAAATCATATAATCTTTAACCGAAAAAAGGGAAAGAAAGAAACTAAGACTCACAAACTTCAAAGGGAACTCCGGCAGGTCCCTGTGGCAGAGGAGACAAATTCACCACCTCATGAGGAGTGGTGGTCGTAACAATGGTGGATTTCTTCTGATCAGCCACCTGCCATGAAGGTGAAGGATGAATGAAAACCCCCCCAGAGAGGCGGAGAACAGGTGACTATGAAACCCTTGAATGAGGTTGGGTAAGTAGAGAGATGTGTGTGGGGGAAATTGAGAGACAGGGCTTCGATTACTAAGGGAAATGATCGAGAGAGGGATTTGCATGAGGACTGAAATAAATGAGAGAACAATTTTAAGTGCGCAGTGTCCCGCTACAATGCTTCGCTACAGTGACTTCATAAAATCATTAACATCATTTTGGTGTTTACAGTTTCAAGGCTTAGCTATAGTATCTGTTTAGAAAATTTATAAGCAAAAAACATTATCAAACATGTTTATTTAAACAATAAACACTGAAACAGTTTACCAAATGGGCCCATAGTCTAGTTTATCTTCAATAGCTTTCAGATGTCTGACATTCAATATAGCTTTTATGTGTGTGACTTTTGTTGCCTGTGAGGGTGCTAATGTAATATGTGGGACTTGAATTTTTTGTTCTATCATTAGCAAGAAATTGTGAGACTTGGAGTGTAGCCATAAACAGAGGTAAAAAACACTCTGGAGATTCTTCACCACTGAAGATTGTATTTAATATACATACCAACTGCAATACAAGATCAAGAACGAGTAATACACCACATAGATAAAAGCAAGGTGAAACCACTAAGGTCTTAAGAGAACTTGAAATGAGGATCCAACCACTATTTTGCGATTTAAGAAGTTGGATAGGAAGTTTCCATGGCAATGCCATATAAGCCTTCCTTAGAATCAATGTCTCTTTCCATTATCGCCCCAAGAATTCTGGACTAACCAACACTTGGTACCATCATCGCTAGTCCCTATCCAACTGCTGCAACACCGTGGTCTGATTTGGTCCCACAATCTCCAGTAAAAACACCACTTGAGTAGAATTGGAAGGCAGGTCCACTAGCATCAATGGCAACAGATACAGGCTGGTTGGCCACAGCCTCCAACAAAATGCCACCTCACTATTGGTAGGCACGTCTTCAGAACCAGTAATCCTTGCTGCAAAGGAGGCAGCCTTTGTTAGTTTTACAAGTTGCATCAACTCCTTCATATGGGTAATTGGCTTCAATAGTGAGGCCATGGTTGTCTATTATGAATTCAAAGGCGTCATCCATGAAGCCACCCCTACAGGCTACAGCCTTGATCATCACCACTTGTGTCACACAATCCACAAGTTCTTCTCGGATAATAAGATCAATTTACCAATTGTGAGCCAGTTAATCCCTTCCATGGTTGCCAATGCTGAAAATGCCCAGCAACATCTCATTATCCGAGAAAGATGTTGCTAGGCATTTCAACAGTGGCAACCATAGAAGGGATTAACTAGCTCACAACCAGTAAATTGATCACATTATCCGAGCAAGAACTTGTGGATTGCGACACAAGTGGTGAAGATCAAGGCCGTGGGGTGGCCTCATGGATGATGCCTTTGAATTCATAATAGACAACCATGGCGCCATGGCCTCACTACTGAAGCCAATTACCCATATGAAGGACTTGATGCAACTTGTAAAACTAAGAAGGCAGCCTCCCCAGCAGAAAAGATCACTGGTTATAAAGACGTGCCTGCCAATGGTGAGGCAGCTTTGTTGAAGGTTGTGGCCAACCAGCCTGTATCTGTTGCCATTGATGCTAGTGGATCTGCCCTCCAATTCAACTCAGGCGGTGTTCTTCCTGGAGATTGTGGGACTGAATTAGACAGACCATGGTATTACAGCAGTTGGATATGAGACAAGTGATTATGGTAATAAGTATTGATTAGACAAGAATTCTTGGGGCACTATTATGATGGAAAGAGACATTGATGCTAAGGAAGGTATATGTGGCATTGCCATGGAATCTTCCCATCCAACTGCATAAATAGCAAAATAGTGGGTGGATCCTCACCTTGAGTTCTCTTAGGACCTCAGTGGTTCCACCTTGCTTATTATCTATGTGGTGTATTACTTGTTATGATCTTGTATACAGTATTGTATTGTAGCTCGTATGTAAATTATATACAATCTTCAGTGGTGAAGAAACTGCATAGTCAATTTTTATTGGTTATACTCCAAATCTCACAATTTCTAGCAAATGATAAAACCAAAATTCGAAGTCCCACTGATTTGATTAGCATCCTTATATGCAACAAAAATCTCACCCCTAAAAGCTACATTCAATATCACAAATCTAATTCTATATTCAATCAGTAATTTGGCATCCAAAAGAAGCTCAATTTGAATATGAACTAGATTAAGTTCTTTGCCGAAACCGATCGAGCTTCTATGGTAGAACCGATAGAATACCAATAGACTGAAATGATGCTTGTCCAAAAAATGGCTATTTAATATAATAGTTAGAGATGGAGTTGGCTCTGTTTTAATAGCAGCAGGAATCCATTTCAGGGAATTTTCGAAGGTGATGCTTAGTCCGCATTTTTGGTTGTTAAATGTTAAAGGTAGCTCAATTTTTTTAGTTGTGGAAGATGTTCAGAAGCTTCTGCATTTCCTTAGTAAATGGACCCTTAAAACAAAAGTAAATACTGTTTTAGAGGACAAGTTACCAAAGGAAGTGATTGTGAGTGTGTTTTCAGATTGTAGGCAAGTTGTTAAATATTGAATGAAATTTGTTTGGCCAAAGAAAAAGATAGTCTTCCTCTTACAGAAAGAGATGTGCAAGCTCCAGTTCACTCTCCTCTCAGGCCTAACCATCAACCACTCCAAGAGTCGTGTTTTGTTCTTAGGTGTCCATCCCAACACTCAATCAAACATTCTCTCCTTGCTAGGGTTTGAAAGATGTCAGTTTCCTATAAGAAATCTTGGAATCACCCTGATTTCCACTACGCTCAAGGCAGAGGACTGTAATAGCCTCATTGACAGAATATCTGGCAGCATGAAACATTGGACCTGGAAAGCCTTATCATTTGGTGGTCATTTACAGATAATTAAAACCATCTTATTTTAGTATTCAATGTTCTGGTCTTGGATTCCCATCCTTCCTAAAAGTGTGCTAAATGATTTGAATAGTGCAAGCTCCTGCAGATTAGACCTCTGTTAAAAACCTCTTATCAAATCATGGATGCAATACCAATTTCTGGTATGATAACTGGTGCTCTTTGGGTCCCCTACATTTGCTGGTCAGTGATTCAGACATGGATAAATCCTCTGTCCCTGCAAATACCACAGTTAGCTCCTTTATCAGTGGGAATTCATGGAACTTTCATTATGATCTTCTTGCTTCCCTTCCAGCCTTGAACAACCAAGGCCACCTTCCTTCCCCAATTCCATTCAAGGCTAACCCTAAAAGTGATAAAAGGGGGGTTTTTGGATCGATGAGAAGATTCGCTCGGTTCGGCCTTCAATCGGTGGGGATTTCTGCGTTGGTTGAGGGCCTGGTCGGCGATAGGTGTACATGGTGGTCTGTGATGGTTTCTGGCATGTCACGGTGGTGAGACTTGTTTGCTAAGTCAAGCGCGTGCATATGGTGGGGTCGGCGAAATCCTTGGTCGGTTGGTGAGGGCTTTGACTGGTGATAGGTTTGTTATGCCAGAGCCTTGACCAGTTGTTGAGATATTCAACCATTGCAAAGAAGCTTTTGGAGAGAGAGAGAGAGAGAGGTTAGCTAGTTGCTGCCTGGGCTAGCCATCTATTTTAATTTAGTCTTGTCTTTGACTTGTAACTTGCTCTCTCTCAAAAGGGCTTTCTCAACTTGGCCTTTGTACAGCTTCTTAATTTCTATAATTAATTTTAGGGTAAACTACACTGACACTTCCTGAGATTTGTAAAAATTTCACATAGATAAATATTTTGATTTTAACTTTTATTCAGATGAATCAGACCCCAAACGTTTGCTCCTCTTACACAAACACCACGTCCTAACACCATGTAAAATAAATGACCTGGTTACCCTTTGACTTTGTCAAAACACCAAGAATTGCATAAAATAAACTAAAACATCCTATAGTTTCTTCAATGATTTACCATCTTACCCTTTCACTCCAAATCCTTGTATTTTATTTACTTTTATTTAAATATTTAATATGCATATTGAATACAAATTTATTCATATATTACTCTTCCACTCTAATATAACAGAGTATTTATTTACATAAATAATAATGCTAACATTAAATAAATAAAAAATGTAATTAAATAGCATATATTTTAAAAAATTAAAAACAATTTGACAGTAATATATTAATAGGAATTTAGGTAAAAGTGTTTTGCAGTAATATATTAATAAGAATTTAGTTAAAAGTGTAGAACATGCCCCACACACACGCACACATATAAATATATAATTCTCAGGCAACCCTTCTCTGCAGTGGGTTGAACATTTCCTCAACGACGCTGACGATTGGGATCAAACTAAATCCAAACTTCCTTGAGTTTAAGCAAAACTCTTTTACTTTCAACTTCAAATCTAAAGCCAAAAAAATTTCCAATTCCAGCAATACACAAAAACATAGTAACTCAGGTAAATTTTACAGCTAAAGAGATAATTAATATATATATATATATATATATTATTTTTAACCAAAAAAAAAAAAGGTCAAATGAATTACCCAAAATTACCATATTCAATTTCATCTCCCAAAGTTTCACCATGATTGTAACAGAGAGCTCATAATTTAATAGTTCAAATGCTAAAATGACAATTACCTACTAATTTTAAGCTTGTAATAATCCTGCCGAGGCTGTTCTTCGTGATCCTCTGATACAAAACAATAACAATCCATACCTGATATGAAGAGGGTGACAAAGGTTAGCACTAGGGGTGGCAATTGGGCAGGTCATGAACGGGTCAGTAACAAAACAAATGGGGCAGTTTCAGATTTAATAATTAAGAATATAAGGACATTTGTAGCAGACTAAAAAATCTAAAATCAAGGTTATAATACACTAGAATACTGAATCTATCCATAGAGCTGATTAATATTTAAGGCCAGAAAATTTCAATAGCATATAGAATCCACAAAGTTAGATGACAAAGGAACAAGAGTACAAAAATACCATTAGTAAGGAATGCAGACATATAATAGTGTTTAATTGGCAATGAATGCAGTCATGCGACACACACACAGACACACATATATGTATATTGTGATAGATAGTTTATGAAGACTATATAACATCAAATCACCCAGGTAAAAAAATCACAAGTAAACATATAGAGAGCTCGGAAACCAAGTAGCACAGGCACGAAAACGGGACAAGATATAACACAAATACATCAACACATCAGATTCAAATTAGTAGAAACAAACAGAGATATATATAATTATTAAATTTGGTTTATATATCGAGTGAGACAATATATACTACTAAATTCCCACTTTGTCATTAAGTTATATTTTGGTCATATTTGAAAGAATGTCACTGTACCCAAAACATATTTGCAAAACAAGCCCATTCCTCCAGAGAAAAGGTAATGTAGGATGGCACTAATTACAAGACAAGGGCCCAAAACAGCAAAAAATCACAGTACCCACTACAGAGACAGTACCAAATGTAAGCAATTTAGATGTCATATATCTACAATATTGCTATTATTTCATTTCTATCCACATAACCATGACAAAAAATAAATAAATAAATAAATAATAATAATGGTACCATCTAAAAGGACTATAAACCCATCTGAAATGTTTTATGGGAATCATATAGTACAGAAAATAAAATGAATTCCAGCAATGGTCTCACCTCGCACTAATGAAAGCTCCTAACAGACTTGATCTGTTCAAAGATCGGACTATTGTTAAAATCAACACAGAAATACAGTTATACAAAGGTATGCTAATGAGGCATTCCATCAAACACTTGGTGATAAATGGAGTAAATATACTTACAGCTTAAGAAATAGAAAAGGAGAGACTTGAAACATTGCTGAAGATACCAACAAGAGAAATCAAGCTTTTTTGAATATAGATCAATTGAAATGACAACTGCGCTATAGAACGATTTGAACTCTCAGTTTAAACGCAGAGTGTCGAGAAAATGGTCTCTCTCACAATTGATCGGTTTTCGATGCAAAGTCTTGGTGTGATTGATGAAGATAAGCCGAAATCAAAGTTTGGGGCTGCGATCGAAGTCGATTGCTGCAATCAAAATTAAACTGATGGTTGTTGTGAAGACGAAATCGTCAGAAACCTACTAGTGAAATCGAAGTTGAAATTGACTGAAAGAATTGTGAATCCGGTCGATCGAATAGAGAGAGTCACTAGAAATCTAGGTGTAAATTTGAGAGGAACCAAGAGAGAGAGAGTCGCTGATGAATGATGAAATGACCATTGGTTATGTTTGGGCGGAGCATACCCACCCTCGCCAATTTTTTTTTTTTTTTTTTAACCATTGACTCCACTCACTTAAATGACTCGCTGATAAATTAGTTTTAGGCTTTGTTCGGATATATTGGACAAAAAAGAAAAGAAATAACGGTATTAGATATGAGAGAAGAGAAGAGAGAAGAAAGGTAGTAATAATTATGGATAGAAAAGAAGATAATGGAAAAGAAATGCAAGTATTTTTGTTTGGACATGCTAAAGAGGAGGAAAAAAGATAGATGATAATAACTAAATTACTAACTAACGTATCCTTTTAAATAAAAGTCATATAAGTGGAATAATAATTTTCTCTTTTTAATTGTTAAGGGTAATTTTGAAATTATGAAAATATTACTTAAACACTATCATTTCTCTCTCTGTCTTTTCATTTTTTTTTTTATATATGAAATAAAGGATACAGATAAATAGTTATTCCTCCCTATCTCTCCTGTCATTTATTTTCTCTCATTTTAAACCACTCAAACATATTTAAGCCATATCTTTTTTTTTCTTTTCTTTCCCTATCTCTCTAAATCATCCCATCTAAACACACTCTTAGACTTTTAGTCGACCAATTAGTGTGTTTATACATAAAAATTGTCACTTTGCGTTTGAGATGTGCGTAAACTAAATGGAATATGCGGATAAAATAAAATGGAATGGTCATTCTTGTTTTATTATGTGGTTGCAAATATAAAATGTGTAAGAATAGAATAATAATAACCATTCTAATGTTTGGTTGGATCAATTTAAAATTTAGAATGAAATGAATTTTAAATTAAATTCTTCAAAATAACCCTCTTAGTGACAAATAAATTAAATTAACAAAATAATATTTTTCTATTATTTTTGTAAGAGAAATGACGGTGATGGTAAACGGTGGTGGAGGTGAAAAGTGGTAGTGGTGTAGGTGGTGGTGTTATAAGATATCAGCGGCGATGGAATGCAACAATGGTATTGGTAAAATGCAATGGCAGTGGTAGTGGAGGTGATAATGGTGAAAGATGGTGGTAGTGGCGGTGGTGATGGCGGTAATGGTGGAGGTGGTGGCAATGGTGGAAGGTAGCAGAGGCGGTGGAGACGGTGTGGTGGTGGTGGATGGCGGCGACAGTTGTGGAGGCGACAACGGTGGTGGTAGTGGAAGGTAATGGGGTAGCGGTGATGTGGAAGGTGGTGGAAGTTGGCGCATGGCAGTGGTAAAAAGTGGTGGCGGTAGTGGTGGAAGGCAGTGAAAATAACGATGGTGGTAGTGGTAGAAAGCGGTGACGGTGGTGGAAGGTGGTGGTAAATGCGGTAGTGGTGGAGGTGGTAGAAAGCAATGGAGGCGGCGACGATCGTGTGGTGGTGGTGGAAAGTAACGACAGTTGTGGAGGCAGCGAAAAGCAGTGGCGATGGTGGAAGTTTGTGGCTATGACAGTGGTGGTAGAGGTGGCGGCGACGGTGTAAGGCAGTGGTGGTGGTGGATGGCGGTGGCAGTGACGGTGGTGGAAGTGGTGGAAGGTAACAGTGTGTAAGTAGTTGTGGTGGAAGGTGGCAGTAGTGGAATGCAATGGTGATGATTGCAACGGCAATAGTGGTTGTAATGGTGACACTGATGGTGACAATGATGGTAGTTGAAGGAAATAGAGGTGGCGTTGGTTGAATATGGTAGTGGTGAAAATCGATGGTGGTGGTGGCAGCAGTAGAGGTGATAGTGGTGGAAGGCGGTGGTCGAACACTTTAGTCATTGGGCCGAACTAAGATGGACCAAACCCAAATTTGGCTATATATAGAAATAGGTGGAGCTTTATTGAATTATCATATCCCAAACAGGACTTCGGCCCAACTATGAACTACCCCAATTCAAGCACATATTTGGTGTCCGTCGGTAATTGCAGCCTTCCAGTATCTAGTCTTACAAATGTCAAGAAACCGTAGAAGATTGTAGAGATATAAACCAAGGATATTTTCGTCAAAATGCTACTGCAGTTAACAAATTCTCCCGCCAAAATCATTGCTTTGCTTGTTTCGAATCTGTTATATAACTGCACAAGGTCCAGCTCCACTTGGTCATTCTTCTTCTTCAACTTCATTTCGTTATCTCTCTCTCTCTCTAGAGGTTTCTCTCTCTACAATAGAATCCTCACTCATGGCTACTCCTTTGAAACTACTCATCCTAATCTCCATCTTCATCTCCTCGACGATCGTCGTCGCCATTGAAGACGCCTCATCACCAGCATCATCACCATCCCCGCCGTATCCATCCTCTCTCTTCGGCCCAGTTCTTACCAATCTCGGTTTCCAAGAACTCGCCGCCGCCGCCGCCTCTCTCTCCACCGCCACCACATGGCGAGGCCCCGCCACCGTGTTCGCTCCCACCGATTCCTCGCTCCTCACCTGCCCTACCTGCTCCGTTCCCCTCCTCCTCCAAGAACACACCATCCCAGGCCTCTACCCTCTCCACTTCCTGCGCACGCTAGCCTTCGGCACCAAGATTGAAACCCTAGCCCCCGGCCGATGCATCAACATCAACGCCGACAACAACTCTTCCAGAATCTTCGTCAACGGCGTCGAGGTCACTCGTCCGGACCTCTTCAACAACGGCCTCGTCGTCGTTCACGGCATCCAAGGCTTCATCTCTCACCTATCGCCGTTCTCTTGCCACATCGAGCGAATGACTTCTCTCTCATTCCCTCCGGCGCCGCCGGTGGAGAAGTTCTTTATGATGCGCATGATGCTGAAGGACGCCATGCTCCGATTACAGATCAGTGGCTACAGCGTACTCGCTCTTGCTCTGAGAGTCAAGTATGTAGAGCTATTGAATCTTCGAACGGTGACCGTGTTCGCTCTTGACGACAAGTCGATTTTTTCCGGCGGTCACGATTACGTCTCCCATTTGAGGTTCCACATGGTGCCGAACAGGCTGTTGAGGGCGTCTGATTTGGAGATTTTGCCGATGGCGACGGAGTTGCCAACGATGGAACAAGGACAGAAGCTGGTGGTGACAACCGCGGGTGGCGGCGGGCCGTTGACGCCGATGAGGATCAACTACGTGAAGATCAAGGGTTTTGATTTCATACACAATATCAAGATCGTGGTTCATGTACTGTCATTCCCGTTTCCGCACGTTCGTCATACAGATACGACGGCTTATGCTGATCCCATCGAACGGTCAGCATGGAAAATGAAGGAATCAGGCTTCACGGGGTACGCTGGGATGCGAGGCATGATGGCCCCTACGCATGCGATTGAATCAACAGAGGAGATTGAATCGAAGCATGGCCTCTAATATCTGATTCACTCACACTAGTTCGTACCAGTGGTAACTGTGTTTTTAGATATAGTAGAATAAAACTCCAAGAAGTCACGCTTCTTTTGTATGTACTATACTTTACAAGACATTTACTTCATAATATGCACCTGACAATTGTTGGAATTTCATTCTGCTCCTTCATGCTTCAATCATATTACCTAATTTTTCTTTGCATAAATATGTAATATCAAAATATGAATCAAATTTATCAAAAATATCTAATATGGATTATTGCAATGAAAATGCCTTATAAGCTATAATATTTTATTGAAATTCCAATCTAACATATATAATTTCTTTTCCGGTATAAATGTATTTAGAAAAAGAATTTAGTTTTTAATGACCCAAATTTATTTAGCAACTATATGCTATAGCTATTCTGGCCAATCACAACATGATACCCAAATAAAAATCTAGATAAAACTAACTATTTGGTCAATAGCAACACGATACACAAATATCTAAAATTAAGAGTTATGATTGGCGGTTATTATATATTCGGGTCTGAATGTATTATAGTTACGATATGTAAAAGAGGTCCACACTAAATTGAAGTAAATATGGGATGCGTCTGTGGGCTTTCCCTTCAGATCCAACTCTCTCTTTAGATTCAAAGTAAGAGTTTGATCTACAGAAATCACTCAATTACCAAAATGACCAAGAAATAAGCCCAGTCCAATGAATGTTGCTAGTTGGTAGTAGTGACCAAAAGAGATGATCTAAGAGCAAAAGTGGAAATTCATGTAAAAGACAAACAAGCTTATTGAAAGCGCATGCTCAAGTGACGCAATACATCGCAATTTAGCAGACAATGTCCAGAAACTTAAAATTGTTAGCATCTGAATATTTTAAAACGTTCGTTGATAGATGTCATCATGCATGTATGAGCCATGACTCTCCTTAGTGCTTTACAAGTGAGACAAACAACAACTTACGTGTTCTCAAGTGATGATATTAACCAACTTGTTACTTTTGAGAAGTATTGCATCCACAAACAAAATTAAAAACGCATATATAGCCATTTGCATGTCTTTTATTTTAGGTGCTTTATTTTATGCTAAAATAAAAATAGTGTTTTACTATAAGAGTGTTTTGAAAAAAAATTAAAATACGTTTGAGAACGATATTGTTTTACTGTGAAAATGTAGAAAACAGAAACTACTGTTATGGTTGTGAGATATGAACAATTGTCAAAACAAGAAAAAATAACTTTTTTGTGTTTTAATTTTGAACCACTTTTCACGAAGTGTTTTAATAATGTGTAAATAAAATTGCACCAAACATATTTTTATTGCCAAAATCACACTGTTACGAAGAATTGTTTTAGAAAAACAAAATTTAATGTTCTAAATTGTCAATGAGTCGATGATATGGTATCGACAGATTTATTAAAATAATATATTTTTATTTATGTGAGAACATATGTGCAAAAAAATATTATCTAACAAGAAGGGGGTTGTAAAGTAAGTTGTATTAAAATAAAAGAGGGTACCAAAAGCTCCATTAGAAATAGCAACAAGTAGAAGGATACAAACATTAGCAACTAATTAAAGGCCTATCTTCTACGAACCCTACCCTCTGCAATCTCAGCCAAAGACTTAAGGTTACACCTTACTATTGTATTAATAAACCAGCAGGTTTCCTCCTTGCTATTACCGTCCGGTATATCCACCACGTAGGATTCGATCACCACCGTCTTACCACCGCCATCCTCTTGATGGACGGTCAAAGTAGACTGATAGTTCGAGAGTCGATGATCACCACCAATAATGCTAAACACCATGACATGCATGTCATCGTCAAGCATATCGAGCCGCTCTATGCTTCTCTCAGCCGGTAAGCCGGACTTCACCGTGACTTCGCGGACACTTCCCACACCCCCATCACCATCATGCATGATACAACTCTTGATCAACTGCTTGTAGCCTTGTGGCTCGTTGAAGCGTCGGACAAAGGACCACACTCGAGCCAGTGGCGCGTCTATGGTCTGGACCAGGGTGGAGCTACACTGGTGTGGTAAAACATTGTGTGTGTGGTATAGGGTCTTCATATGGTTGTTGTGTTTGGTTTATGGTGCATTTTAGCTAAGCCTGTTCACTCGTTCTTTGTGCGGAAATAAATGGTAGCCTAAAAGGAAGAGACTACCGCTAAATATATAGAAAAAGTTTCTTAGTTTTGTCATCTTGTGTAGTTGAGTCGGTCGATGTTGAATTTTTTATATCTATATCCTTCATCTCGTTGGGTACTGTGATTTTCATAAGATTTTACCTCATTACATGGATTTTTGCAGCTCCTAAATATTTACCATAAAATTGCCGACGGTAAAATTCTACTGATATAATATGTGCGTGTGTGTATATATATTTCTCTACGCATCAAATATTTTTGGTAATACAAGTGCACAATTGGCAATTGGAAATCAAAACACGTGTAAAGCTTTGCATGCATGACAAGTGCGAGAGAATCACAATTAGTACTTGCAAATCGGAACAGGTGTAAAATTTTGCCATTTGGTATGCCACGTGTACGTTGCTTTTCTTCTTTCACAATAACTTTGATGATCGGGATACTTAAGACTTAAGAAAGGTCGCTCCCCACAAATAATTAAATAAAATGACACATTTACTATGTGTATATCACGTAAAAAATTCTTGTTCAACGGAAAAAAAACTATTGCAAATTATAGTTAAAGTTCAATAATAGAAATATTTATTGTAGAAAATCTACATAGAAGAAATTTTAATAGAACGAAACATCAACCGTGAAGCAACTTTTGATCAACTAACTAGAATAAATATTCATATTATATAAAAATTAAATAATAATAAATTACATAATATAATATAAAAATAATAATAAATTGATGAAAAGAACTGATTTGTATAAATGATTAATAAGTACATGTGTAAGTGTTAAAAAGTTAAAATGTGCCAATTCAAAGATTATGTCTAGTTGCCTCTACAGTCTAAACCATGTAACAAAAGTATGCAAAATACGAAAAATAATAATATTGAAAAAGAGAGATAGACTTTGCAAAGAACTGGAAGTTGTAAAATAAATAAATAGGAGGCAAAGGGCTAGAAGAAAAGGTTAACGCGACACCTAAGCCTACTGGGTTAGCTCACCTTATTTTTGTGCGGGTAGCCCAATGGCTATAATGGGCCCAGTAGAAAGTATAGAACACTGTGAGCAGATGGGAAGAGTCATGAATTTGTTGGGCAACTCTAACAAATTCAAAATATGAGAGTTGGGTAAAAAATGGTCTCTCCAATGAACTCTTATTTGAACTCTTAAAATTTGAGATTCTTAAATTTTTTCTCATATATGGCAGCTGTCAAATTTTTTTGGCAAGTCTCTCATTTCCTAAAACGGTACCGTTTCTCACCAATCATCACTCACTCGCATCTTTATATGTATATTATATATATAATATATATAAACTTCCAAAAAAAAAAATTATATAAAAAAATTATTAAAATATTTTTTCCCTCTCATCTGCAACGACTGGCGTTTATCGACGGCGGTCGGCGCTTAAAGGCGACGAATACCAAACCGGGTAAATTCTCATATCTGTATTTTCTCTTCCCCTCTCATCCTCATATATATATATATATATATATATATATCTTCTCATATCTGTAATTTTGTTGAAAAAACTCAAATCTGTAATTATACATGCCATGTCTTCTAGTAGCCAAACATATTACATAGCACAAACCCCTCCTCTGTTAATCACCAATTGGCATAAGGTTTTAGGGTTTGTTGCTTTAGGAGCAGAGAGCTTTCATCTCTGTTGACCTGCAAAAATTAGAGGGTTTTGACTCGGAATATAAGTTGGGTTTTTTTTTTCTTTCAAACTTGTATGCTTTTTATATCTGATTGAACTCTGAAAATGGAGAGGGATTTCTTGGGTTTAAGCTCAAAAGAATCTGTAATTACGGTTATGATTTTTACATCTATGACTTGTAATTATGTGTTGATGTAGGGCTACACAGTTTAGACACATTGACAGAAATCCTATGGTGTCTGATATCATTAATAATGGTGTTTAGGCTGTCCAGTTTGATTTACCTGATGAAGTCTGTTTTGCTATTCAAAATGTTGAGCTACAAGCTGGTGCTGATACAATGGTATGGAAGCATGGAAGATTTTCTCTGAAAGCAGCTTGGAATGAGTGTAAGGCTAAAAAACAATTACGGTCATGGACTAATGTATTATAGGGCAGTTGTAGACCTCGAATTGTTGTGGGAGTTGTAATTATTGTACATAATAAGAACCCCAGCTTTGTTAATTTGCAGAAGCGTGGCTTGATCCTTCCCTCCATCTGTCATAATTGTTTGGCAAATATAGATTCTAATGATCACGTCTTTTGTGAATGTGCATATGCTGCTGCAATTTGGCAAGAGATCAATTCTTTACTTCATTTGGAAATGCCTAGGTTTTCTACCATGTTATAATTGACAGATTGTTTCATTGTGAATTCAACTGTAAAAAGCACAAAATTAAAAGTGTTGGGTGCTTTATTTGCTGCTACAATTTGGAAAATTTGGTCAAGTAGAAATTCAGCACTACACAATGGCACAAAAGACTCTTATGAATATGCTGTCAGGATTATAATTTGGGATGTGCTTACATATCTCAATCTTAGATTGGAAGATTTGTTAACTATCTGCAATTGATGACAATTCAGATTGTATAGCTTTTTGCTGCACATTCAGATAATGTTTCTATATAAGTGGTTTTGATAGAAGACTTGTTGAAGTAATATATTTTGAAGATCAGAGAGAAGCTGCCTGCTCATGTGTTGATCAGATTTGGCTTTTAGGCTAATAAGTTTCTTACTCTTTTACTTTGTTTTGATGTCTTTTTGCTGGGAGTGAAAAGTATTCATTCCTATTTATGTATTGGAGTTCATCTCCTTTGTAATTGTATTATTTTGGTTATATTTATAAAAACACCCCATTTAGGGAAAAAAAAAATTTCTGTGTTGATGTAATATTTATTCTGAAATTCAACTATAATTCTCTTTCATGACCTTAAAGTGAGTTATTGTGGACCTACTATATGAACTTTTTTTATCTTTTAGTTTTTTATGATGATTTTCTATCATGAGATGCAATGGATTTTCTTGAATGCATGTAAATGAAAGTCTTCTTTCTTATAAATGAAAGTCTAGCAAAAGTATTTACTAGTTATGTTTGTCTGAGACTTGTAGTTTTTTCTTTTCTTTTTCTTTTCTTTGTTAAACAAAAACAAAAATAATTCTAATTTTGAAGTCTCTTTATGCAAATTGGTGATTAATTTGAGTATTATGGTAGATGGGTTCCTTTTACATTTTTTCATAGATGATTTCTATTTAAAAATGGTAGTTGGGAATGGTAGTTAAAAAAAAAAAAAAATTCGTGGTTGTGTCAAAAAATAGCATTTTGGATAAAATGCACCATTGGAGCAGAATTGTTAAAATATAACATTTTTACACTGTAACACCTCTCAAAATATAGATTTGGCATGTAAAAATGGCATTTTTGCATTGGAGATGGTCTGAGCTGGCTTGGGAATTGGAGCTGAGCCGGTAGAGGTTTGTTCGGGTGGTGCACCCACCCATCGAGGGTAGTACGGATGCGTCGTTTTTCACATCAAGGAACAATACTCCTGATGATACCCCTGACTACCTGCCAGATGGGTTCGTGATGAGGACCCACAATTTGGGAGTTGTTGTTCCACTTTGGACCCTACAGGTGGAGATCCTAAGCTATCCATCAATAAGGGGTTTTCTAACACACTCTGGTTGGAATTCAAGTTTAGAAAGCATAGTGCATGGAGTACCTATGATTGCATGGCCACTCTATGTTGAGCAGAGATTGAATGCTGCCTTGCTGACGGAAGAGCTCCACGTGGCGGTCCGACTGAGGGAGTTGCCAACAAAGGAGGTGGTGGGGAGAGAGGAGATAGAGAGGATGGTGAGGACTGTGATACAGAGCAAAGAAGGGAAGATGGTGAGGGAGAGAGTGAAAGAACTAAAATAAAGTGCCCAGAAAGCTTTAAAGAAATATGGCACCTCTTATAATTCACTTTGTGAGGTGATTAAGGACTGTGAGAAAAGACTACAGTCACATAAGGCCAATGGCTATAAATTAAACCAGATAAGAACATCTCCAACCCACTTACTATATGGGTTGCCAATTCAAAATATAACAGGTGAGTTAAAATTGAGCCCTCCAATGACTTGCTATATCACTTGTCAAAATTTGCCTTTACTATTTTTGGTGCCAAATCTAACAAAACAAATAGCAATAGCTATTTGCCTTTTTTGTTGCCTGCCGTCTCTCTCTCTCGCTCTACCAAAATCTCTCTCTTCAATGGAAGAAACCGGTGCCCTCTGCTTCTCAACTCTTTCTTCTTCTCTCACTTCTACTTCTCCGCCCTCAATCGCCCTCTTCCTTCGTCCATTTCAGAGTAAAAGCTTCCAATTCCGGCAATTTCCTCTGCGACGATCCATTTCGATTCTATCCTTGGGATTCTTTCGACGAAAACGGTGAATTTCTTTCTTGATGTTTCTTGGTGGACTGAGTTGAGAGACAGCGGCTGAAGCTTGCGAGCGGCGAACCCGAACTAGAACAGTGGGCGATGGAAACTGAAAGATATGGGTTTTGATTTTTTGAACAATCTGAAATGATACGTCGATATGGGTTTTAATATAGGTAATAGGTTTTCAACTTTGGATTCTTGCAGACAGATAGATAAACTGAAATATATGGGTTTTGAACTTCTGATTCTTGTAGATTTTGTAGTTTGCAGTTACAGAGAGAGAGAGAAGGGGGGCAAGTTCTTAGAGTTAAGAACGAGAATAGAGATGGAGGCGATTGGGGAGGCTGAAATGATTTGCCCTAAAAATATATATGGCGATTTGGGAGGCTGAAATGATTTGTCCTAAATATATATATATATATATTTTTAATAATAGTATAATCAAATATATATAATATACATACATACATATATATATATATATATATATATAATATAAATTTCTGAAAAAGAAAAAAAATATATAAAAAAAATTTATATAATAATTTATATTATATAAATTATATTATATATAAAAAAATTTATATTATTATATAAATTTTTTTTATATATTTTTTTTCTTTTTCAGAAATTTATATTATATATATATATATATATGGGGTCATTTTTTGACCAGATATTTTAGATTGTTGATTCTTTTTAATTAAGTTTAATTTTATTTTCCTTCTAATGTCTACAACTTGACTTGGAATGTGACTAATATTAACATTACTGATGCAAAAATGAATGGTGGGAATGGTAATTGAAAAAGAATAATGGGTGTGTCAAAAAATAGCATTTTATATAAAATGCATCATTGGAGCAGAATTGCTAAAATATAACATTTTGACATTGTAGCACTGTCAAAATATAGATTTGGCATCCGAATTTAGCATTTTAGTATTGGAGATGCTCTAAATATATAAATAGATATGCACCCGAATGTAAAAAATCTATTTAAAATCAACGTTTGGGAAAAAAATATTTTTATATATTCTAATAAAAGACAACATTCAACCCTCTAATCTTCACTTTGATAATCGAATGTTGGACTCCCACCTTCTCATTCATAGACTCCGGTTGAGACTATTCAATGTTAAAATCAATTAATTCAAATATGTATTAAATAATTCATTTGAATTTTCACAAATTTCAAAAAATAATTTTAATTTCATTGTTATATATATATATATAGCTCATGAAGTAACTCTCTTGACAGCTTTACTTTTTTTAATAAAATATATGTAACCATTAAAAAAAATCGAAACTAAATAAACTATAATAAGAACAACACTAAATTTTTAATCAAACAACACTATCTTAATTTTTTTAAAAAAATCAAGTCAAAAACATTTGTCATCATAGGAGGAGGAGGCCGATTTCAATCCAAAATCCAATCTGTGATGATTTTTTGCTGATGTGCGCTTGAGAGTCTGTCTCTGATGGGTTTGGGCCCTTCTTTGGGCCTCCTTCAGCTTTTGTTTGGGCATCCTTGTCTCTCAGCCCACCCGATTGCTTTGTGGGCTTAGCCCCTTCCCCTCCTTCTCCTATTTTATTTTCATAATAATAACACCCGAAATAAATTTTTTAGATGGTGCTTTCTTGTTAAATAAAAAACAACCACCTAAATGATTTCATATATAATTGGCATTAATCATTGGATTCAAGTTTTTTTTTTTTTTTTTTTTTTGGAGAGAGTTGTTTTCTCTCAAAATCAACAACATGATTTTCCATATATTAAATAATTAAACGAAACCCAAATCCTAATTAACGTAATACTGCTTCCATATCTTTGAAAAGTTTGAGATTTCAAGTCCATACAAATACAAGCAAATAGTCTCGCTACAGAGAAAAAAAAAACACTACAAAAATTTAAAACAGAACCCAATCTTCCACAATAGATTCTAAACCCGTATATAGCTAATTTGAAGCTATGCAACTTTTCGTTGCAACTGCCGCCAAAGTGTTGAGATTCCACCCAATTATACTACTAGTAAACCAGCATCTTTCTTTCTTAGTGTTACCCGGCGGAATATCCACCACGTACGATTCCATAACCACCGTCTTACCACCTTCCTCTTCGTGCACGGATACCCTGGATTGATAATTCACAAGTCTGTGATCGCCACAGATGATGCTAAACTTCATTACACGCATGTCATCGTCGAGAAAATCGAGCCTCTCCGTGCTTCTTGTGGCCGGTAAGTCAGACTGGACCTTGATCTCACGAACACTTCCGGTTCCACCATCACCCTCGCGAATGGTGCAACTGGTTATAAACAGCTTGTAAGTCTGTGGTTTACTGAAGCATCGAACCATGGACCACACTAAAGGCAATGGTGCGTCCACGGTCTGGACCAGGGTCGCGGTACACTGGTTTGGTGGAATATTGTGATGGGCGTGATAACGGGTCAGCATAGAGGCTAGTATGGGGTGGTTGTGGGGTTGGTTGTCTTTGCCCGAAACATATTGAAGGTTTTGAGGTTGGTGTCATGGTCAATTTTGCAGAGGTATCTTGTGGCTTAAAAGGGGAAAGAGGTTGATTGCTATTTATAGCAAAATTCTGATTGATACTTGTGCTACTTTTTCTAGGATCTTTAACCCTTCCTCTAGTTGGTCCGTCCATGTGATATGTCCAAAGATTGTCTCACCACTCACCACACAATGAATTGCCGCCTTTGCAAGTTGATATAGTAGGAATGTTTCACATTTGTCATGCATGTATAAAGATGCAGTCATCCATATGCATACATGTATCAAGTTAGTATCAAACAACACCTAAATATGATACGAACATATCAAAAATAATAATATAATATTTGCATCAACATCAACAAGACCAACAAACCTTCGGAAAAAAAAAAAAAAAAAAAACACATCAACGAAGCCATTTTCCAATTTTTTAGTGTCAGCTAAGTAATTCTCTTATTTCGATTCCGCTTTATACAAAGCAATAGCCTTAGTCAGTCCACATAATATCATATATTTTTTTACTGACTTTATTCGATCGCATTAATTATGGTATTATCTCTTTTTTCAATATTATTCTCAATATGTACTATGTCACTTTTATGTCTAATTAATGTTACTCAAACCATCCTCCAATTGTGATTACTCCAACCATCTCCAATTTCTCATATTTGAAACTTAGAAGGAGATGTTTGTTATTTTTGCTCCCTAAAATTTTATATTATTTTAAATGACATTGAATTACATTCTTTTTTAAAAAATTTACAAAAGTACACTAACATATCCTTAAAGTGTTCCAAATGTGTTCAGTCGTGGTTTACCCTAACATAATCAAATTTCATGATACTTTTAATCTTGTCCCAAATGTTTCCGGACTATATCCCACGCCCATCTGAGTATTTGTCACCACCAAGACACTTTTAGGTGAAGTGTTTGCTTCTCCTAAATGTATTATACATGAACTAAATTTTCTCATATTTGGTTGTGCAAATCCAACTGTACAAAAAAGAATCACGTCACTCACTTGTTAGACGGGTACTTTTAAACGATGAATTTCACCACTTAAATTGGCGAAACTTTATCATTAAAAATTTAGTAGTAAATTTCATTATTATAGATAAAATTCACCATAACAATTGGAGATGGATATTGGTTCATGTTATGATGTATGTTCGTGTTACCTCAGCCCTTGACAGTCTGGATCCAGCTTTGTTTTCTCACACCAGGGGCTCGGCCCCCTGTTTAGCCCTGTCTCCTCTTTTACCAAAAAAAAAAAAAAAACAAAAACAGAGATATTTGTTCAAGTTTTGGATTTTTGTGGTTGAGTCGGTTCTCAATCGGGTTTTGAGTTCGGGTATATCTATCGGGGTTTGAGTTCTTTGCTGAGTCGCATGGCTCGCATATCTTTATCCCTCATCCACTTGGTTCATGTACTGGTTTCACGCTGTGACGTCACTATAGTTGCTCTTAAATTTGTTCTAGTTTTGGATTCTTGTAGTTGAGTTGGTTCTAATCAGGTTTTGAGTTCGGGTATATTTATCGGGGTTTGAGTTCTTTGCTGAGTCACATGCCTAGCATATCTTTATCCCTCTTCCACTTGGTTCGCGTACTGGTTTCACCATGTGACTAGCATATATCTTTATCCCTCATCCCCTTGGTTCGTGTACTGGTTTCACTATGTGACGTCACTATAGTTGCTCTCAAATTTTAATTAGTATTATTATTATTATTTTTTTTTTTTTTGTTTTTTTTTTGCAATGCTCTTAAATTTTAATTATTTTATGATATACACACCCATGATGTCACTAATTACACTATTTCCATTTTGTTTTCAATTGAAAGACTATACTTTACTAGAACATAGATGTTAGTGTTATTTGTTTTAATTTTCATCATCTCAATTTGTGTGATTAATGTCCAATCTATTTATTAACCACCGATTAGTATAATTTATTTTTTACATATATATATTTTTTCTAAGATAACAACTACAGAGTATTCATATTCAAAAGATTTTATAGGTTGTACAATTAATTAATTATTATTATTATGATTTTCATAACCAAGTTGCAAAATCATGTTTCTGAAATTAAAAGAAGCAGTAAAAATATTTAAATTAAGTCTCTTTAATAATTTTTTCATCCATGCTAATCATTTTAGGTATCCAACTTTACATACTTAGATTACAAAAAACCATCTATGCAATGTTTTGGCATCAAAAAGACTTCCTAAGGCAAGTTTTTTCAAGAGAACAATACAATCCGAACTTAATATTATTATATTTGTAATACAAGTTAAATAAATTCTACATTGATGTATAGTAAAAAATTTCTTTTTTTAAGTTTAATTTTTTTTTTTTTTTAAATGATAATACAACATTCAAATTAAAAAATGTCAAATAAGAAAAACTCCCTCTGTCCCTAATTAGTAGTCTATTTTTCTGGATTGTGATGACCTTGTGGGCGGGTGTGCCGTGGGCGGGTGCGAAAGACACTGTCAGGCTATCACGAGCTATGTACACAGTCCCACATCACTTGAGTAGAGGAAAGGTGAAGTGCTTATATGTAAATGTGCCATCTCCAATTAGTATGAGCCGCTTTGGAGTAAAGCTCAAGAGCAAAACCGTGCAGACTCAGACCCAAAGCATAGAAATATCATGCCATATGGTGAAGTGGGTGTTACAAATTCTTTTTACATGTCTCAAATTAGTTGCCTTCTTTGAAAAGTCAAAACATCTTTTCATTATATTTTCATCATTGTCCTTTATCTTTTTAAAAAATTTTAAACTTTATAACTATATATATTTAAATTAAAAAGGACAATTTGATAATTTTAAAAGGGAACAATACATTAATTGCATGTCCCGTTCAAAACTTCAATTTCTAAACAGGGACTTATATTTAAGGACAGAGTATAAAATTGATAATATCGCATAATAGCCAATTCAGAATAAATTTAAAAACCATCAAATAAAAATAAATTAAGTAAAAAAAATATGAGAACATAAACTTTGGAATACGAGGAAAAACTCAATTACTTCGATTGCTTACAAAACACACCATAACAGTAATTAATTGGTCACCGCCTTCCATTTTTGGATTTCTCGATTTGGAAAACTGAGATTGAGCTACTGGACATAATAATACTTGTGGGATTCAGTACGGCCACGTACAGATTTTTTATTCGTTGACAGCTTTTGATTTTATTCAACGAATCGTACAGCAACCTTAAGGGTTAAGAAAAATAATGGGGTTTTGAAATTTGTGCCACTTCACAGACATGGAATTTGTCAAAAATGAGCGGCACGCCTCACTTTTATTTTTAAATAGTTAATTATTTAATTTGATAATGGTAAGAAAAAAAAAAAAAAAAAAAAAGAAATACCAATAAATAAAGATATATATAATTTATAATTCTCTAAAAATATGTCTTATAAAAAATAATTTTTTAAAAAATAAATCCAACAGAATTTTTGAATACTTTATTATAAATTAAAAATAAAAAATTATTATTGAAATTATAAAAAAGATTAATAAAAATGTGTAGGATTTAATTCACGTATGACTGGACCATGATGAGCTGGCCTTTGGTTGGAGGACCTTGGTCACAGCTCCTTGGCCCAACCACTTCGGACCATCACTGGCTTGCTATGCACAACCCATTTGGGACGTCAACAATCAATTAACAGGAATACACATTACAAAGTTATAAATTACACAATACCATATAAATAATAAGAAAGTGCAGAGGTGCAACTTGAGTGGGTTAGTCCAGCCCAACCCGAGTTCAGCCTACAAATTTTAAAATCTAGACATATAAATTTACAATTCGGGTTTAAGTCGGATTAGATTTTTTCAAAACCCAACCTTAATCGGTTTGGGCTGAGTTCAACCTGAACCCAACCCAAAAGCCCAAATTAAACATTTCATTAAAAAATAATAATAATTAAAATAATAATAATAATCCACAATAAACATAAATTCACAAACCCTAACTTTCTCTCTCCTCCTTCTTCGCTAACTTTCTCTCTCCTAATCCTTCTCTTTTCTCCCTGTATCATCGGAAAGAGCAGCGAAGCTCGCAACCTACCGACGACTCCCTCTATTTCATTTCTCTCAGTGACTCCCTCACCTCTATCTCACATCTCTCGGCGACTCCCTCTATCTCACATCTCTCGGCGACTCCCGCGAAAGTCGAAACACCGCTCTCGCCACTAGAGAATAGGTTTTCTTTAAATTCACACTCTTTCCCTATCTGGGTCTTCAATTCTCACATATATGTTGTTCAATTTATGTGGATCGTTTGATTTGGGCCTTTTCCTTTGTTCTAATACTAGGGTTTTTTGTGTGTGTGCATCACTGTGTGTGATGCCTATCCGCTTTTTAACATTGTTTTGTTCTGAATTTTGATATAAACTTAGATGCTACTACTTTAGAGGTTTCAAGTTCAGCCTCTAATGTTTCAATGCTTTTAATATAATAGTTCTTTAGGTTTTGTACCTCATAATTTTCTTGTTCTAAGACTTTTATCTTTTAGAGCAAATCAGTTCTACCTTTTTCAGGTTTATCTATGTACAATGTTTTCTCAGGCAATATTTTCTTAGTTTGTTAAAAGTTTGTTCTAGCTTCTTAATTATTAAGATTGTTAGCTTGACCAGTCTCCTCAAATATTTAATTAAACGTTGCTTTGAGCTTTGAAGGATCATCATTATCATCTTTTTAATCTTCACTCCCAATATAACTATTATTATCTTCTTTGGCATCACTACTTAATTCAGAAGTTTTATCTCTGGAAGAATTTTGAGGTTCTACACTTGAAACCAATGCAACTTGTGATACCTCCTCAACCTTAGAAGAAGAATCATCACTATCTAATTCAGATGAATTAGAATGCTCCTTAGCTGCTAAAATCATCACTAGGATCTTTCTTTATAACTCAGTGCAAGGCTT